TGTTTTTTTCTGAAAAAAATATTGAATGAAAATTTTGATAACACTAATAATAAAAAACCATTAATAAGCAATCAACCGAACGAATGTTGTTTCAAACAAACAAACAAACAAACAGAAAATTAAAAAAGGTGATTGAACTTTTATTTATTTTGATTGATTTTCTTTTTCGAACCGAAAAAAATCAACATTCGAATTCCATCTGTTCGAATTACAGAAAAATTCCATCGATATTAACGCCATCTTTTTATGAAAAATTGAAATTCTTTTGTTTTTGTTTTTATTATGTAAAAAAAATGTTCGAATATCGGGATAAAATTGCTCACCGATAAAAGTTAAAATTAACAAAAATTTTGATCAAATTTTAATCTGAATTTCTTTTCTTTCTTTTTTTATTTCAAACAGATTCATTTAAATCACCTGGTTGACAGAAAAAATATAAAATGAATGATTCAACAACAAAAAAAAACGATACGACAACAACGATGGTTGATGTTGATGAAAATATTGATGATGGTAATGATGAAAATGGTCATCATAATGAATTGAATAATGATAATGATGATGATGGTGGTGGTGGTGGTGGTGGTGGTAAAAAACCAGCACCATCAACCAAAACAACAACAATACCATCAACAACAACTCAGACAACAACAACCAAACGTGATATTATTATTAATAACGATGATAATACAACATCATCATCATCAAAGAATCATAATCAAATAAATCGTAAAAATAATTCAAATTTCAATTTGAGATTAAAAGATCAACAACGTAAAATGATGAAAACAATATTTAATCAACAACAACAACAACAACAAATGAACAACAATGATGATAATGATGATAAAATATTTAATCAACATAATGAACAACAATATCGTCGTCGTTTAGAAACTGAAATTGATGAAATGAAAGAATTAATATTTTCAATGAAACATTCGATAAATATATTGGAAAAAATTCGTCGTACATCAAAAGAATATATTCATTATATGCGAAGATTATTTTATACATATTGTTATGTAAAGAATAATAATAATATAAATAAATTACAAAAAATTATCAATGAAATTGATAATGATTTAGATAATTGGGAACAAAAATATGAATCAATATTATTATTTCAACAACAAAGTGGTAATGATGATAAAATTCGATCATTATTTAGTCTTGTTGGTAATGATTCGACGAATGCTATAAATTTTAATAAATCAAAACAACCAATCCAATCAATGAAGCAACGAAGAAAATTCAATGTTGATAATGATGATGTTGTTGTTGGAAATTTGAAAAGAAATTTTTCAAAAAATTTTAAACATCATCAACAAATGACACGTTTAGCATCATCGACTACCTCATCATCAACAACAAACAAAATCAATAATAATAATAATAAGAATTTATTGAATCTTCCAAAATCCAAATCTAATAGAATCCGAATAATTCCCGAAGAAAATGATTATTATGATGATGATGATGATTATGATGATGATTATTTTGGTGGAACAAGTGCTGGTGCTGATGCTGAAATTATTGATGATAATGATGTCGATGTTTATCATCGTGATGATAATGATCTCATTATGCCTGGTGGTAGCGGTAATTGTGATATCATCGATAATTGTCCATATCCAATTGATAATAATAATTTAAATGATTTAAATATAATGTCAAATGATCAATCATCAAATAATTCAATGATGATGATAATACCAACAGAAGTATGTGAAGTTTCAATGGATATCAATGAAACATCAAATAATAATGACACAATCGTTGATAATGATGATGATGATGATGTTGATGATGGATTAAATGAAAATTTTCCAAATGAAATGTTTAATGAAATGTTTAATAATGATCAATATGATCAATTATCATCAACAATGTCAATGAAAAAAAAAGATAAACAATCAACGGCCATACATTCAGTAATTGAATCATTTTATAAAAAAATTAATAAAAAATTAACATTATTAGATTTACAACGACGACAACAACAATCCCAATCGGATAATGTTAATACTAATAATGGAATGCTATTTTCATCGAATAAACTTCCATTAAATAAAGATTTAGCTCGATTGAATCAATCAAAACGTGAAACATCAATTCAACAGCAACAACAAATGATAATGTCAACGGATATTCCTCAATCAGATAATGCTGTTAACAACAAACAATCTACATCATCATTAAACAACAGTACCATCAGCAATACTAATAATAATAATGGAATTGGTTCAAATTTAACTGCTGGTGGTGGTGTTCATCGTGGAAATAAAAATTTAAGAAATTTGTCGGAAAATACATCAACAAATGTTACGCAACAACAACAACAATCGAAATATTGTTCACCATCATCATCAGCATCATCCTCATCATCATCCACATCATCATCATCAACAAGTTTGCATAATCAATGTATTGATTCATCATCAATAACACCGGCAGTCAATCGTAACAGTATTCATAGTGGACGTAATAATAATCATCATCAGATTAATAATAATATTGATCAACAGAAATTGAATTTATCTCAACAACAACAACAACAAAATCTTCTGCAACAACAACAAGCTAATAAACCATTATTATATTGTGATTATAATGGTTGTAAATTTCAAACAAATATTCGACAACGTTTAGTTATGCATAAACGTGTACATTTAGGTGAAGTTTTATATCATTGTGATGTTGAAGGTTGTGGTTATTTTTCCAATTATAAAGGTAATATAAAAATTCATAAAAAACATCGTCATCGTTTACCGACAACAACTGATGATAATAATGGATCCACAACAACAACTGCAACTTCGACAATATCACCATCAAATACAAATCGTGCAACAACACGATCAATATCGGCTGCTAATGAAGCACAACAAAATCATCAAATAGTAAATTCAAAAGATATTAAACTACAACAACAATCATCATCATCTTATATGGATGATCATTTGATTTATAATAATAATAATGGTGATAATCAATCGGATATAATTATGGATAATGATTCAATGATTGGAACATCAACAACAACAACAGCAAAACGTCGTGGACGTAAACGCAAACAACGTATCTATTCAGAAGATTCTGGACATCAACATTCACAACAGCAAAATTTTATCCATGGACAATATTCCAATCTAAATAATGATGATGATAATGATAATAATAATGGTGGTGGTGGTAATGTTGATGATGATTCAATTATAAATGAATTTAATTTGGGATTTATGGCTGATGATGTTTCATCATTTGGTAATGATCAATTTGGTGGTGGTATTCCGTTGGATGGTAATAATATTAACATCAATAGTGGTGGTGATAATTTAATTGAATCAACATTTATTAAAAATCAATCAACAAATGAATATGAATGTAATTTGGATGGTTGTAATTATAAAACACGTTGGCGTCATTGTATTATTGGTCATCAATATTTACATGCCGGTATTATTAAGCCATTTTGTTGTGATTTTCCTGGTTGTCAATTTCGTTCAAATTTACGTACAAATATTGATGTACATAAACAATCAAGACACAAGGATTTTTATCTTAAACAACAACAACAACAAAGGTCAAAACGACAACAACCACAAATATCCACAACAAAATTATATCGATGTCGTTATCGTGGCTGTTCATTTACAACACCTTGGCCACAAACACGTTTTAATCATGAATTAAGTATGCATCAAAAATATTTATCCAATCATAATCATCATCGTCAGACTAATAATCGTCGAAAATTATCACAACAACACCAGCAACAACAATTATTAATGAACAGACGACGACAACCAAATGATAATGTTGATGAGGATGATTATGATGATTATGGTAATGATTATGATCCAGAATTTGATGATGATGATGAAATCGATGATAGTAATGATGATATTCCGTTTGTTTTAAATAATGAAGCAATATTGATGATGAATAATAATGACGATAACGATAATAATGATGATGATGATCTCGAAGATGATGATGACGATGATGATGATGATGATGATGGAAGTCAATCAGTTTTAATTATTGATCAACAACAACAACAACAATCATCATCAATCAATAATGATAATAATATTGTTATTAAGACCGAACCATTATCATCATCAACAACAACTGCATCAGCAACGATAATTAAAAAAAATGATTTAAATAATAGTCATAATAATAATATCATAATAGATCAAATTACTGATCAATAAATCAATCAACACAGGGTATATAATATATAGTTAAAATTAAGAATATTCGTTCAAAGAAAAAAAAATTGAAAATTTTACCCGAATACGCACACACACACACACACTAAAATTGCTCTCAAAAAACACAAAAAACATCCACTGCCGCTGTATAATTTGGTTATGGATTTTTTTTAACAAAACAGGTATGGATTTTTATTTTATTGTTGTTTTATCTTTCTAATTTTTTAAAATTAAAATCTCGGTTTTTATTTTGTTTTCCACAGACTTTTTCCCTTCATCTTTGGTCCATCACAATCAATTCGATTGGTCGTCTTCCGAGCAACAATAACAACAACCTGGATACATTTCGTTCATTCATCATCATCATCATCATTATTTGATTGATAACTTGAAAGAATCAATTACGTATCAATCAATTTTTTTTAATTTTAAAATCTCATTTTTTTAAAAAAAGAAAAAAAAACAGCATCTGACATTTTCATTCCAACATACTTTTTTGGCAAATTTTTTTTTGTTAATTACATTTTTTTTTTTGTACTTATTAAATGAAAGAAAACCAAATAAAAACAAACACCCAATTTTTTGATTATGAAAAAAAAGCGGAAGTAAATCTGATTAATTTGATTGATCAATTTGGGTCGATCGTTTTTCCTTTCTGGTTATATATAAATAGCGCTGCTTGATTATTTCAAAACTAACGTGTAACATCTTTTATGACGGGTTTAAACACAGCAAAAAAAAATCATTTTTATTTATATTTTTCTTTCATTCATTCTTGAAAACAAGTCGAAAATTGAAATGAAACGAAACTTCAAATTTTAAAAATTTAATTTAATTTAACAACAATTTCGAAAACAAATATATATAAAAATGCTGCTATTCCATTAAGTTTAATTCCATTTAGTTTTATTTAGGTGATTTTTAATCATTCCGAATAGTTTTTTCCAACTGTTATCAAATTTCACATTTCGAATTTCACGTTTTTTTCTTTTGTATTTTGTGTTTTTATTCTTGTCAAATTTTTTGATTAATCAAATCAAATAATAATGGTTCAAATTTGGTTTAAAAAATCATCTTCCAATCTTTCATCTCAACCAATCAATACGGATTGGATGTCAAAATTAAGTGATCAACAAAAACGGCAACCAATTTCGAAATTAATCATACCTGGTTAGTTTTTTTTCGATTATTTTAACACTTTAACTGATATTTGATGTTTTTTTTTGCTTCAATTTCAAATCGTTCCCTTCAAAAATAGGTTCACATGATTCCGGTGCATATAAATTATCAACCGAATTAGGTATAGCAATCGATCGTCCTGGTTTGAATCAATTTTATATCAATAAATTTTCATTCATTACCTATCCAATTATTTATCGTTATTCACAAACACAATATCAAAATATTTATGAGCAATTAAAATCTGGTATAAGATATTTAGATCTACGTATTAGTTTGAATCCATTGGATGATGAATTTTATATTACACATAATTTTTATGGACCACCATTATTGATTGTTTTATTTCAAATCAAACGTTTTATTGAAAATTATCCAAACGAAATCATAATTATCGATATACAACATACCTATAATATTGATACGGATGATAAATTTAATCGATTAATCGATATATTTAATATAATATTTCATGATCAAATGTTTTTACCAACATCAAATGATGAATTTCAAATGCCATCAATAAACGATATGATCAATAAACGACAACCAATAATGGTAATTTATCGTGGTAATTATCCAAATCGACAGCAAGAAACAAATGAAAAACAGATACCAAAATTTTTCCTACCCAATTCAATTATCTATAGTCCATGGCCTGATACACGTTGTCCATTAATGTTGGAAAAATTTATTGATAATATTCTTTCAACAAAAATCAATCCGAATCGTTTGTTTGTAATGCAAACTGTTTTGACACCAAATAATCTTTTTGTAATAATAAATTTTTGGAGTAGTTTACGTCGATTATCCGAATCGATTGGAAAAATTATCTGGAATTTATTTGGATTTCAAGAACAGGATTCAAAAAATCAAGATCAAGATGATGATCAACAACAACAACAACGATGTAAAAAATTGGATAAAATCAATATCGTTATGTATGATTATATTGATCGTCAATGGAAAAAGGATGGAAAATTTTTAATCGATCAAATTATTGCAGCTAATTTTTTCAAGCAACCCGATCAAAAATCATTTGATAATAATCATTCGATTGTGATGAAGAAAATTAATTGAAAATTTTTTTCAATTTTCAAAATTGTCATAATGAACTTTGATTTTTCTTTTTTTTTTCTTTTTCAAATTCCATTCACACACACATACAAAAGCTCAGTCTTCCTTTGTTTTCTGTTAATGAATTTAATGCATAATTTAATTTAATTTAACCATTACCACCACCATCATCAAACATATCTTTTATTATCAATCAATTAATGTGATTTTTGTTGTTTTTTTTGTGTGTGTTATTGATATATCTAATAATGATTTTCCACTATTTTTTTCTTTTTAATGATTTTTCTTTTTTTAATTTGTGTTTAACATCGTTTGTTTGTTTTAAATGTTTGTGTTTAGATTTAAATTTTGTTGAATGATGTGAATTTTTATTTTTGTTTTGTTCTTTTATTTCGATTAAAAATCATAGTATAAATTTAAAAAATAATAATAATAATCAAAAAATTTTAATCGAAAAAGAAAATATTATTTTTAATAGAAAAAATTTTCACTACGTTGATGACGATAATTTTTTGCTTCTGGTGATTTTAAATTCGAATCCATTTGCTGTTGTTGTTGAGAATTGGATAAATTCATCAATGAATAAACACTTTCAGTGGCCGATGTTGCTAATGTTGATTTTCGATGACCATAATTTTGTTGTTGCTGTTGTTGTTGTTGTTTCATATTCATTTCAGCCAATAATGTTTGTAATAATTCCAAATCAGTTTGTGTTGATACTGTACGTTGATTTTTCATTGAATCAGTTGTATCATTATTATTATTATTATTTGAAAATCGTTTTGAATCATTATGATGATTATCATCATTTGTATTAAAAGATCGATTCATTTTTATTGATTTTTCTGATTCATCATCATTATAACGATGTTCATTATCAAATTCTTCACGCATTTCTTTCTGTTCTTTTTTCAATTTTCGATCCAATTCATTATCAATATTATGATCCAAACGATAATCATCATCGATTTTTTGATTTTTTTCCATTATTTGTTGTTCTAATTGTTGACCATATTCACGTGCTTTATCACGTTTAGTTGTTGCATCATTCATTGAAAATTCAGGATTTTTATTTCTTGCAAAACGATGATGATTACGTGGTTCATTTTCACGAAATGATGGCCAAAAAAAATTCGATGTATCCGATGTTTCTGTTATTGACGGTGGTGGTGGTGGTGGTGTTTGTGTTGGTGTAGATGATGTTAATGAATTATTTCCGTTATTATTCATGATGATTAAAATGAATCACGAAATATCTCGAAGAAAATATTTTTGTTTTCTTTGTGAAAGAAATATGAAAAAAATCAACAAACAATGCGTATCATAAAAAACAAAAAACAAAACAAAACAATCACTATGGTTTCAAATTGTAGTGGAACTTCGAGTAACTATCCAATATTCATTGCCATTAGTGGTGGTGATTATTAACCGAAATACCACTGTTTTTTTTTTTTTTTTTTTAAAAAAAAGCCCCGGTTTTTTTTTTGTTGTTGCGCAAATGCAGTTCATTCATGTCTGTCATTTTAGCTTTTCTAAAGCAGCAGCAGCTTGCACTCAATTATTGCTTCAAGGCCAAAATTCTTACCGTCTAAATCAGGGGTGGCCAAGCTCACCCTCCTCACCCTCGATTTTTGAATTATAGAAGTGTGGCTCGCGAGCCACATGCGGCTCGCGAGCCGCAGTTTGGCCAGCTCTGGTCTAAATGCTGAATCGATNTTCCAGGGGGGGCCAAGCTCCCCCTCCTCCCCCTCGTTTTTTGAATTATAGAAGTGTGGCTCGGGAGCCACATGCGGCTCGCGAGCCGCAGTTTGGCCAGCTCTGGTCTAAATGCTGAATCGATCAGAATCATTAGCCGTTGATTTGATATTTTTTTTCGCTTAAATTTGGCTTCAAAGCCAAAATACAATGTTTTAATGTTAAACATTGAGAAAAAAATTGAAAATTAAAATTCACTCAAACTTATCATTATGTGAACAACATCATATTTTCGTAAAGCGATGTGAATATTTCCAAAAAAAATGAAACCAGGTTATTTTCCACGTTCTATGAGAAAATCCCGATCCAAAAAAAACTCATTATTGATGATGATAATGATGATGATATGGGAAAATTGTTTTTTTCGGGCCAACGACAATTTTGTTGTGCGGACACAAAATGGTCATCTCTGTCAAATAAGGTTTAATAGACATACAAAAAGAGAGTTTAATTTTATGAAACTTATTTTATAATTTGTCAAAATTCTCACGAATGATGATGATGATGATGATGATTTTTAATGAACAAGAAAAAAAGATGAAAAAACAAAACAAAACGAAAGAGAAAATCCGTTATTCTAATATCAGTCCGAAATCTGAAAAACAAAACAAACGAGCGAGCATTTTTGGATCAACAAGTCAAATGTTATAAATTTTTTTTTGCTACATTTACAAATTTGAATTGATGAAAAATGAATTCATTTCTTCTATATTTGATTATTATTTCAATACAATTATGGTCAATAATACCGATTACAGAATCGGCATTTCATTTGGTTAAATATGGTCGTCGTAATCCAAAATCAACAATTATTATGGATAATAATCATTCAACAAATCAAACATCATTACCAAAAGTTAATCAACCGACGATGATTGTTTTGAATCAAACCAAATCATCTTTAAATGGTTTTGAACGATTTACAAATGCCGATAAAATTGATAAATCAAAATCCAATCAACAACAACAACAACAACAACAGCAATCATCATTGACAGCAGCAGCAGCGAAAAACATTGCGAAAATTTCATCACCATCACCAACATCATCGACAATAACATTGATTGAACAAAATTATCCAAAAAATTTCACAGCAAATCGTGGTTCGTTTGGTTTTCGTAAACCAAAATCAACAATTTCAAATCGACAATAATAATGCAGAAATTTAGAAAGAAAGACACCGAAAATCTTGACCGTTTACCACCAATTTAATTTTTCTTCAAAGCCAGATTCTATTTTACAAGAAATAAAGTTATAAAGTTAAAAGTTAATGTTAAATAAACAAAATAAAATTACAAAAAAAAAACAAATCAACGATATTATGTAATTATTAATAACCCTGATTTTTTATTTTCGATTGTCACCAAATTATTATTATCATAAAGATAAGAAACAAGACAAGACAAGTAAAATAGTTCAAAAAAATCAATATAATTTTGAAATTGTGTAATTTTCATTGCTGTTTTCTATCTATTTTTCTTTTTTCTTTTCCCATTCACGATTATGGAACATATATGGTGAATGGTGTTTGTATGTGTTAAAACAAATTTACATCCCAATAATGATAATATTATCTAAGTAAAAAATCACTGGTTTTCAAGGTTTTTGAAACATGTTTTTTGACTCTAAATTTAGAGGATTGATTGAATTGGAAACATTACTTGTTAACGAAATAACGAAAATTGGCAAGGTTATTTTTGCTATTTCCTTTCATTTGATTTTGTTTGTTTTTGTTCATTTTTAGTTTCTTCCAATAAATGTTGTTCAATGAAAATGATGATGATTTTAAAAAAATAAAAATTATGGCATTTTATTCATTAAATAATCGTGGTGATGAGATAACCACATCAAATGACCATAATCAAATCAATTCAATGATTTTTGATTTTGAAAAGAATTCTTCAGTCATTTCTTCATTCATTTCCAAGGAAGATCAAATCAACAGACCTGACCGACCTTGTCCGTCAATGAGAAACAAAACAAAAAAAGTCTTTCTGAAGGAAAATCTTCTTTCCATACTTATTTAACTTGAAATAATCATCATCATCATTTTGATAATCAAACATCATTGGAAACAACATTGAAATTTTGTTTCAACTTCAATTTTATTTTGGATGATTTTTCAACGAAACAAAGTAAAATGTTACATAGATATTTATTATATAAAAAAAAGAAATGAAATTTTTAAATAAATTTTTTGTTGTTTTGGTTTTTGATTTCACCAGTGTTTCTGTGTGTCTCTGTATTTGATGATTTTGTCAAATTTTTCGCCGTCAAAATGTGTTTTGGTTTCTGTGCGTCAATCAGTCCAGTCAGTTAAATAAATAATTTCCGAAAAAGAATGAAGAAATTTTCCCGATCAAACTTTAGTCATTCCATATGATGATGTTGATGATCCAGGAATATTTTTATCAATAGTTTTTGCCGGATAACCTAATTGTTGTTGTTGTATTTGTTGTTGATATTGTTGTTGTATTTGTTGTTGTTGTTTTTGTAATTTTAATTGTTGTTGTTGTAATTTACGAATTTTTGGATGATCCATTATATCTAATGATTTTGTTTTATTTGTAAAACGTTTTTGTAGCTGATATAAAACAGCAACAATACAACATATTGCTAACATTGAAAATGCATACAGAAATGGAAATAGCCATACTTTTCGTAATTGCTATTTATTTATTTTTGTTTGTTTGATGATAAGGATGCGGATAATGAAAAACAAAAAACATTGACATTAGTATGACATTATCAAAATTGGAAATTCAAAAATTGAATAACAACAACAATATCAGTAAAGAGATGATTTATATGGCCAAATCTTGTCATTGAATTTTTTCTGTTTTCTTTTCTCCATTCAATTCAATGGTGATGATTTAAATTATCATCATTGAATTGAATTGAATTGAATGGGAAAGAAAAAAGGACAACAACAACAACAAGGACCAAAAAAAATATATAGTTGAAAGAAGAAATAATCATAATCATAATCATCACCTGTCTGAACTTGACCATTATTATTGAATTTGGATGATGAATGAAATGGAAAAGAATGTTTTTTTCTTTTGCATAATAGCAATTATCATTATCTAATTTGATGACATTGTAAAATCTAATGCTTGCTTTTTTCTGTTGTTATTGAAAAAAACCTTGCCCAAAGGCTTCCGCATTTGCATTGCGTGTTTGTTTCGCTTATCATCATCATTCTTTATTGTTGTCAATGAAAATTTCATTGTTCAAGAAAAACTTACCTCAAATGGAAATGATAATGTAATAATGGTCAATGCAGTACCAACATTTTGTATACCGGCTTCAATTGCAATTGTACGTCGTACAGCAAATGATAACCGGAATAATGATGCAGCAAAAAATCCTAATGTTAATCCCAATATTGGTAGTAGAAATTCTGCTGCATATAAAACAGCCGGTACATCATTAAATATATCGGGAAATATAAATACTTCTAATGTTTGACAAACAATAATAATACCAAAACCAGCAATCGATCCAATTCGTGTAAGAATTGGTGCAATTTTCGATAATTTCCAATTAACCAACATACCGATTGCAACCGGTGTTGTTAATGTTAATAATGATATTGTCATTTTACCATATGGTATTACTAATGTTTCAGTTTCAAGATTTCGTCCATAAAGCCATACATTAAATGGCATCATAATTAATGCAACAACAGTTGAAAATGATGTCATTGTTACACTATTTATTTTGAATGAAAAACAAAACAAAAAAAAAATTTGATTTTAATTTGATTTTGACTGAGTGATTTAATTGAAAAAAAAAATTTACCTTAATGAAAGATCACCTTCACAAAAATATGCAAAAACATTCGATGTAACACCACCAGGTGAACATGCTAATATTAATAATCCTGTTGCATGTAATGGATCAATCTGAAAAATAACAATCAGGAAATATGCACATGCAGGTAATAATACAAATTGTGATATCATTCCAATTATAACACCGATTGGTTTTCGTACATGTCCCCATACCTAAAATAATAATAATAATTTATTTATTTATTTTTTTTAAAAGGACAGGTAAAAATTAAAAAAAAAAATTTGAAGAATGAATTTCAATGATAAAATGAATGCCGTTGTCATTAGTAATGACACGATTTGAAAACGGAAAAGAAATTATCAACAAAAAAAAAATCCAAAATAACAAATTTTTTTCCCTTAGATAACAATAATCTTGACCAACATTTAACTTAAAAAATATTTTACTATTTATAATCGTAATTTACTCAATTAAAAAAAAATTATCTAACCTTCTAATTTAATAACACCAAAACAAAAACAAAAACAAAAATCTCTTACCTGTTCCCATGTAATTGAACATCCCATTGCAAACATAACAGATACTAATAAAACAACAATTAAATAATCATGAATTTGTTTCAACATTGGTGGTGTTTTATAAACTTTTTCTTTTGAAACTATTTCTGTTGATTCTTGTTGTTGTTGTTGCGATTGATTTCGATCAATACGTTTATTATTTGTTGATTTAAATTTTGATTTTCTTGGTACTGTAGTTGTTGTCGATGTTATCGATTGATTTCTATCTTTATTCAATGCCGATTCTAATGATTGATTAGCCCATTTTGATGATGAAGTCGATGTTGTTGAAGATTGATTACGGTTATTTAATCTTGTTAAATTTGTTAAAAATGGTGATGCTCTTGATGGTTTTGGTTTCATTGTTGTTGTCGTTGTTGTAGATGTTGTTGTTGTCGATTTTATCGTTGATAAAGATGATGATGGTAAAGATTGAATATTTTCATCAGTATCATCATCTGATTCGATTGTACGTATTCGCATTAATTGTTTAATATCTGGATCAATATCGGTGGTAATTGTTTTGATGGTGGTGGCAGTGGTGGCAGTGTTGATAATGGTTGTATTGATGTTGGTTGCAGCTAAAATTTCAATCATCATCATCATAATGATGATGATTGATTTTTGTATCGATTTAGTCATTTTTCTGTTGAAAATTTCAACAATTTTTATTTTGACCAGGTTATTCAATTTGAAAAATGAAAAAAAATAATCAAAGTAAATTCAGATGAAGAATTTTCTTTTTCGGTTACACCAAATACACAAAATCAAAACAGAAAACAATCAACAAAATAAAAATCAACGAAACGTGATTGTTTGGTTTGGTTTTTAAATATCGATGCAAAAAAATTTTTTTCCATTTCTCTCTTTCTCTATTTATTTGTTTCAATCTCTCTTTTACACTTTCACTTTCTATAACTGTTAATATAACAGTTTTTTTGATCTCTTTTCTGTTGTTGTTGTTGAGAAGCAACAAGTTGCAGTGAAAATAAAAATCAATGTTGAAATTAATAAGAAAAGAAAAATATTTTTACTATTTTGATTTAATGTCAATGGCGTTAGTTTTTCCGCAAAAAAAAACGAATTTCTTGTAATTCAATTCATCGAAATCATCATAGAAAACAAGTTACGTCTTGTTATTATCACATTCATCAGGATCCAAGGGCTCCAGAAAAAAAAATTCGAATGTCGTTGTTTGTTTGTTGGCAAATAACCATGGCATTTGTTTACGGAAATTTTTTTTTTGACAACAACTAAGGTCCATAATAATAATGATGATGTTGTCATTGTCAGGTGTGTGTATGTGTTAAAATCGTCGTATTGAACAACGAAATTTCAACTAAATTTGAACATTTAAAAAAATTAGATATGATCATTTTTGTTGAATTTATGTTTTGTTTCTTCATTGCATTTCATTTGAATTTTTTTGGGAGGGAAAAAAGTGTTAATCGATCAATATTTTCGCGGGAAAAACGTACAATGAAAATTTTCTTTCTTTTTCATTTTATCGAGTCTATGATTTACAACTACCAACCAAAAAAAAATGGGTAAATTTCTTTCAACATCAAAATTATTATCGATATCATCGATTATCACATGATGATGATATTGATCAACAAAGAAAAAATGGCCATTTTTTTAACGAAACAATGCAAAAAATCCTTGATCAATCCTTTATGTCTTTTTTTGATTAAATGTTTCAATCATTGATCAATCAAATGAATAGCACACAAACATACATTTTAAATATTTGGATGATGATTATGACCAATCTCAAGATCAAGAACCTCGAAAGAAAAAAAAATCTTCCTTCATATCATCATGATCTGATGACATTTATGGTGATGATGGTTACATATTTTTGTTTTCAATCATGAAAAAAATGCAAGGCTAAAAATGAATGAATGAAATTTTCATATTTTTGCTTATTCAATGATTTTCATTGCTGACCAGTTGCCCTTGTTTGTTTTTTTCTTTCTTTTTTTTTTGCTCGTTGAATATTGTGAATTTTTGTATCTTTAAAAAAAACCTTATTTTTTAAATTTCATCGAATCAATTAATCCAATGATAATGATGATGATGATAATCTTATCGATGGCGAAAAAAATTTCAATAATTTTCTGTTGTTGTTGTTGTAATGTTTCCTGATGATGATGATGATGATATAATTATGAGAAATGAAATGAGGAATTGCTTTGTTTTTTTTTGTTTTTGTTGATTCCTTGACCAAATTTTTCTTTTTCTGATGATGATGATGATGATGATGATGATGATGATGATGATGATAAGGAAATGGATTGATAATAAAAACTTAAAAAATGTAGAATTTTTGTTGTTGTTGTTGATAAAGATTCAAGGTTTTTGGTGACCATCGACATAATTTTGTCGGAGAAAAATACAAACGAAAAAAAAAATTATAATTAAAAAGTTTTCATTTCTGTTTTGACTAATTATTTCCTTAATTATCTTTTCTTTTAATATTAAAATTTATATATTTTTTTTGTTTATAACAAAAATAATACGAAAGAAAGCAAATAATGAACGATAAATGTCAATCAAAAAAACAAAAACAAAAAGAATAAATAATGAAACATAAAGGTGTTCAGTTTTTTATTTTCAAGAAGGAAAAAAACAAAAAATAATTCAGAGGAGGTTAATGAAAATGAAAAATGATTATCAATTCACAATCGAAGGTCGATTCATTTTTAGGTAGGTAAATTTTTGTTTTGTTTTTTTGGAATTTATTCAACAACAAAAATGAATGAATGAATGACCTTTGATGATGATGATAGAATGAAGTTTTTTTTTGAAAATAATTTTTGCTGCAAAAAAAAACATTTCGTAAAACATTTTTGATTTGAAAAACAAAAAAAACAAAATTGTGGTTATATTTTGGTCAAAAGATGTCGCTACATTTATATATATTTTTTCTGTGTTTGGCACCATTTTTGTTTGCACAATCAACTGCCACTACTACAACTATAAATTGTTTGTTTTCATTCATTCATTCATTTCAATAATGATGAAAAAGTCGTCATCATCATCATCACACACACACACAGTGCAGACATCATCATCATCATCATCAAAATAATATTTGAGTTTTATTTATATAAATTATAAAAAAATTTAATTAATCAATTAATTTTTATCAAATGAAATAAAAATCAAATCAAAATTTACTATATCTACCTCATGTGTATTCGATTTATTAATCTGGAATTTTTTAGGTTTGTAGTTTTTTTTTTAAAAAATTCAATTTCTTAGTTTGCTTTTGATTCATCCATTTTGTTTCATTTCCCCTTTTTTTTCATTTAAAGTTTTAAATAAAGATTTTCAACGAAAAACAAAAAATAATACTCATCAAATGGAAAGAATCGATTGATTGATTGATTGATTGAAAAAGAAACGTTTTTCCAGAGAATACTCCATTCAAAATAAACAAACAAACGACAAAACTGATTACACTGACACCTTTTTTTCGCAACTACTTATTCGTTAATTTTCTTATCAGATTAGAACAGATCAGAAATTATTTTGTTTTTTTATTTTTTTTGGTTACAAATTTGTTTTTATCAAATCAATTTTTACTTGTTTTTTTTTCTAATTCTCAGCATTGATTTTTTATTCTTTTGCCGACTTTTTTTTTTACTCAAACATAATATTATTTATAAATGATAATTTTAAAAAATATTTGTTAAATTTACATAACTTACACACGTTAATATAAACCGGGAAAAAATGGGTAGCAATTCAAAAAAGAAACATAAAAAACATAAAAATAAAGATCGTGATCCATCATCAACGACGACAAAAAAATCATCACATCATCGAAATAGATTATCAACAACAACAACAACAGAAATGATGACAACAATATTACCATCATCATCATCATCATTCTTATCGTTATCGATGAATCAAGATGATCTATCTATAAATTCTTCAACAACAACAACAACAAAAAATATTGATTCGAATCAATATGATCATGATGATCATGATCAACAAAATCAATTTATTCTTGGTCACAATAATGATAATGATAATTCTCATGATTCACAACATTCATCATTATCATCAACATCATCAACAACATCATTAAAATTAGAATCATCACCAGTACCAAATAAACCATTAAGAATTGTATTAAAAGTACATTCATCAATTGGTCAATGTCAATCAACTCAATTAGAATTATCACCAAATTCTACTTCATTAGGTCAACAACAACAAATATCACCAATGATTTCAACAAATATTAATGATAATAATAATTTATTAAAATCAATCGAACCAAACGAAAAATCGATGATTGATTTTGTTCAATTACCAAATGATTCATCAATTGATTCATCATATGAAAATCTAAATCAAGATCAACAACAACAACAAAAATTATTAACAAACAATATTCCATTAAATCATCCGCCAACCTTATCATTATCATCACCATCATCATCATCGTTGTTATTACAACAAACAAAATCATCGAATATAAAAAAATTAAAAAAATCTAAAAAATCCAAAAAATCTAAACATAAAAAACATTCACATCATTCACATCATCATCATCACCATCATCATAATCACCATCATCATCATCATCATCATCGTAAAAAACATCAACATAATTCTGATAGCAATATTGATGATTCCATTAATAATATTCAACAACAAGATAATTCAATAGTCAAAAATGATTTATTTGTTATTGATGATCGTGATCAACAAGAATTGTTATCAATTGATGAACAAAGGTCAATATCAAGATTATCAACCGATTCGATTGATGAATCGTCGACAACAACAACAACGGATTCTATGATGATTACAACAGGAACAACTTTTGTATCTTCGAAGGAACAATTTGATAATTTAAATACTGAAAATATCCAAATTAGCCAAAATCTAAATCAAAATGATCAAAATAATATTGTCAAAACATTCGATACAACAACAATCAATACATTTGATTCGAATAATCCAATTAAATCAAGAAATGCATTACGTTTAAAATTATCAAAATCAAATAAATCATCAAATCAATATAAAATACCGAAAATTGAACCAAACGAACCAACCATTTCAACTATTTCTTCGGAACAATCATCGATTGAATTATCAAAACAACCGATAATTGCAATGAAAAATCTAAATTCCTCAACACCAACAACAACAACAACAAAGAAAGAATCAAATGCAAAATCATCAACAATCGTTTCGAATAAAAAAGAAGAAAAATCTTCATTAAAACAATTATTATTATCTTTATGGAAACAATTACAACGAAAAGATCCAAATAATTTTTTTGCACAACCAGTATCCGATTCAATTGCACCTGGTTATTCAACAATAATTACTCAACCAATGGATTTAAGTACAATAAAAACAAAAATAATAGATGAATATCGTACATTAGGTGATTTTAAATCCGATGTTAAATTAATGTGTGATAATGCAATGAAATATAATCGTCCAGAAACAATTTATTATAAAACAGCAAATAAATTATGGCATTATACTAAAAATAAATTATTTAAAAAAGATTCTGTATTAGATTATACAAAAAAATATCCACGTTTAACACCATTAGAATTAAGTTTAATGCCATCCAATCAGGTAATGATGTCAAGTTTAAATTTATCATCATCAGCAACAACAACAACAAATCATTTGAATTCAATAAATTTAAATGGATCATCATCATCATCATCATCATTAGCGAATAATTCTAATCAACAATTTGGATTATTAAATATTAATGTTGGTTTAGATTCATCATTTCAAAATTTTCAAAATTCAAATATTTTGAAAACAACAAATTTGTTGTTTGATTCATCATCGAGTATCTCTCCAGCGACATCATCGTCGATGATCAATGATAATTTTATATCACCACCACCACCACCATCATCATTATCACCGCCAACCACAGTTAATTGGTCAAATCAATTATCATCAAATTTGAATAATAAAGATTCGAATTTGTTTTTGCCAAATAATTTCAATAATGTTTCATCATCATCATCATCATCATTGATAACGAATTCCGTTGGTAATTTGTCATTGCCAAATTCATCATCATCGATTGTTCCTGTTGTAAATAATAATAATAATGGTTATCAACAATTTCGTTCAATTTCTCCCTCATTATCGACAACGACATCGTTAGAATTTACTACTAGTTTTAATCGATCAATGTTTCAATCAAATACAACATCATCATCGTCTTCATCATCATTTATTGGTGATTATTTTTGTAAAAATTGATTATTTTTTCATCTAATTAATTAATTTGATAATTGTTTTTAATTTTAATTAGGTTTACACGATTCGAATCATTTAGCTGTTACTGGCCAATCAAAATGTTCGTCAACAACATCTTCGAACAGATTACGTAATAAAAATTTAAATGAAAAACTTTTTGATGGTTTAACAGCTACTGAATTGATTGAAAGTGTTCAACAAACTGCAAGACAAGCTCGAGAACGTTTACAATCAAGTCGTCGAGGACCAACATATCTTTCATACCTAAAACAATGTGATGATCAAAATCTGGTACTTTGTTCGATCGATGATCAAAAATCTGAACCAAGAATACTTCGACCATTTAATTTAGATTTCATCTATCAACCAAATGAATCCGGTAGAATTGATGTTAATGTTTTAACATCATCAACGACAACAACATCGACCACATCAACAATTAATACAAATTCTTTGAATTTATCGCATACAAAATTATTGAATCAACAAGTGATCAATAACAACAACAATACGATGACAACAATAGCAACAACAACCAATGAATCATCATCATCATCGGATATTATTGATAATAATAATGATTTGATAAAAGATGAAAATGATCAATCAAATACTGTTGTTGATCATTCGACCAACAACAATAATTCAGATAATCAAAATAGCAATAATAATGATGATGAAAAGGATGAAAAGAATGAAAATTCATTGGAAAATAATTCAATTGTTGATAAATCGAATGATAATAAAATTGAAGAAAAAGAAAGATTATTAAAAGAATTAATCGAAGAACTGAAACCATGTTATGGTTGTGAAGAATTTGGTTTAGATTATGCATTATCAATAGCAAAATTTGCAAGAAATTCTGAATATACATTCAGTCTGGTTACATCATTATTATCAGTTCTAACTGATAATAAACATCGTCAAATTGCAAATAAATTTCATAAATTAATGCAAGAACAATTTGATGTTTTTCAATCTACTACTTCTATCTAAAATGCGATATCTCTAATTCTTACATAAATCAATCGATGGGGGTAAATCAAACTTTTTCCATAGAAATTTGTTATCTGATTAAAATTAATTTGGTTTTTTTTCTTGTTGTTTCTAGGCAGAAAAACTAACTGACAACAACTATCACAATCTTCCATCTGAAAATTTTCTTCGTACTTTTCAATGGAAAGCAGATTGTGAAAGATAACAAGCAAGCCAACAACCCCTTATTCGGATGGAAAATCATTTAAACAAAAAAAAATCAACCGGTCTATGCCATCTTGTGTTTTTATCTTATTTCCTTTTTTTTGATCTGATCTCTCTCTTTTATGTACATGTTTGTTTTCATTAAATTAAACTAAATAAAATTAAATTAACTATCAATCAGATTTACATCATCATCGATTTTTTAAAAAATGAATTTTAATCAATATTTAAATAGGAAGAAAAAAAACAATCAATTTTGAAAGAAATTTAATCAATCAAAATTGATTGACAATGATGATGAGCTTTATTTATTGATCCAATATCTGTAATTGATCAAGATATTGTCCAAATAGATTGATAATTATTAATGATCGATCATTAAATTGTTGTTGTTGTTGTCTTTGAATAATATTTTCAACATATAATTGTTTTGCACGACCAATATAATATTGAAATAATTTTTTTCTTATTTCAATCGGTATACTTTCGAAAAATATATTTTCATTATTTGTCATTTGATGTATGTTGATCAAATTGGTCGAAGAATCATCCAATAAATGTGATAACTATTTTTTTGTGGAGGGAAAAAATCATTAAAAATCAGTAAATTCAACAAACAAACAAACAAATTACCTTAATAGCCATACCAAGATTATGGCCAAATTCGATGGCAAATTTTTTCGCTTGTTCATTCAGACCATATTTATGAAATAATTCCGATATGAAAAAACTTAATTGAAAACCATATGTTAAATAACAATAACTAAGTAAATAATTTACTTTCGTCATTGACCATGATGATTTATCCAATAATTTTGATGTAATCGTATCAGTATTGGATGTAGAAATTATCATTTCAAATTGTTGAATAATTTTATCAAGATTTGTTATCACATTTGAATTGTTTTGATTATTATCATTATCAGCATCATAAGTACAAAGACTAAATGCACCTTCAATATTTTTCAATTTTGAATCAGTATAACAATTATAAAGGCCAATATCTTTATAAACAACAACCAAAGCCATCATTTTAACAAAACAATGATCACCCATTAATACTAAAAGATTTGTAAATTTTTGTTTCCATTGATGATAATTATCAATTTCTAATTGTTCTTTTTTACCAATCCATTGATGTAATTCAACACCATAACTAATTAAATCATTACAAATTGCATAATCAATTAAATAATGATCATCAATTATTGATTTAGATGATGATTGTGTCGTTTCATTCGATGAAAACCAATCATTAAATGAATTTTTTGAATAATGTATCATTTTTACTAAGATTAATGGAATTAATCCTTTCAAATTATTATTATAAATTTTATGATATAACCTATTTTACAATAAAAAAAACAATGTAATTAATAAATATTAATTAATTAATTTGTTAATTAAAAAAAAAAATAATAATATCTTACCAGAAAAAATTTTCAAGAATTTTTAAATCTTCTTTTTGTTCAAAATGATTACAAAATGTTGAAAGATTTTCTTGATAATCATAGATTAAAAATTCTAAAAAATTTGAATGATAATTACATAGTTGACGTAATTTTGATATTGATTGTAATATTAAATATTTTTGCTGTTGATTCGATGATAATAATAATAAATTCATTTGTGGCATAAATTGTTCGTCCAAACATTTATAGACAATATTTTGATAAAATTTTTGTGATTCAGTTATCGTTTGTTGTTGTTGTTGTTGTTGTCGATGAATATTATTACTTCCCAATATTGTTGATGATGGTGTTGGTTGTAATAATGTTGATGCTAACAATAAAAATGGATATTCATTTAACATTTCTGTTTGTTTTGAATAAATCATTGAATCGATCGATGGTTTTTGTTGTTGTTGAATCATATTGTCGATTGATGTTTCGGTCAATGGCATCGCTATATCCATGTTCATTGATGGATGATGATGATGATGATGGTGATCATCTTCAACAACAACATTTCTCACTGTTGTTTTCATTCGAATCGAAGATTGTTGTTGTTGTTGTTGTATTGATTTATTGAAAGTTTTCGATGATGAAAAATGTAATGGATAAAAATTACGTGATGATGACAACATTGATAATTGATTATTCTGTAAAAGAATCGTTTTGATCGATCTGATTGATGTTAATCGATTATTGGCCATCATTATTTGTTTATGGCATTGAAAAAATTTGATGGTATTCATTTTCTTTTCAATTTAATCAATGAAATTCATTTAAATGAAAATTCCAAATTTGAAGATAGAAAACAAACAACAACGATTTTTTGGAAAAATATTTTTTTGAACATGAAAATGGCATTCGCTTTTATAGATCGGATGATGATGATGATTCAATGATGAAAAAAATCAAGAGAAAAAAAGAAAAAAAAGAGAAAAATTAATGAGAAAAATCAAAAAATTGTTTCGAACAAAAAGAAAGTAATAACGAAAATGAGAAAAAATAAACAAATTCCTAGGAAATTTGGAAAAATTCTTCATTTAATGATGATTATCAGGTAAAAAATTCTTTTGAAATTTAAATAAAACCTGCAAAACTAGTTCCAATAGGTATAATAAACTCATTAAAACATTTTTAATTGAAACTTACAAAAAATGATAACAAGAATTTTTTATTTCACAAGAATTTTTTCTTGGAAAAAGTAAAACAAAAATCAATCACAAGACTAGAATTTTATCAAATCAATCAATCAACCAAAAAAAACAGAACCAAGAAGTTTTTTCTTTTTAAAACCGAAAAGAAAAATTATCAAAGATTAATTTTAATTTTTTGACTTTTTCGTTGAAACGAAATCGAAATTGAACCCGCAAGGTACATCATGTATTAATTGTAACAACAGGATTTATTTATTTTTTTTATAATTTCTGTTTTAATCTCACATGTCTGTTTTCTGTTTTCTGTTTTGCATACAAAATGTGTTGTTGTTGTTGTTTTTCAAAATGATTTTGGATTTTTTTTTTTTTGCTTCTGCTATTGATGCTATTTAATGTAAACCAAGGTTAAATACACACGTTAAGGCGTTATTCATAGAAAACGTTTTCGAAATGAAATTATTCTTTTTCCTAACACACTAAAAATAAAGTCACATTGTGAAATCATCGCCACTTTCCTCACCACACAATTTCTGCTCAAACATTTTCGCTCGTACTCATCAAGCACTCAAAACGCTAGTTTTAAGGTTAACATTCCAAACACATTCCCAAAAAGTAAGAAAGTAAGAAAAATTTCTTAAAGAAATCAATTTGTTTCGTAATTTTTGTTTCTAACAATAATCTTTAATGATAATTTTTTTTCCAATAGTCAATTTCCATTTCTAATTTTGGAATTTTTAGCAAAAAAAAAGCGAAAAGCTAAAAAGAAAAAAAGATGTCTTATTGGCGATCGGCAGGAATTACGTAAGTTGAAAGTTTTTTTTCCATTTCAATATCTCTATTGGAATACAAATTTTTGTTGATGATTGTTTTTGTTGAAATTTTTTTTTTGTTAATGTTGTGCACTCACTTGTTGATTGCATTGTGTCCAAACCTTGTTGCCCTTAATTATCCTAATCGAATTTTCTTAAAGATGTTTTTTTCTTTTGATTACGTAATTTTATTACAAAACAAATCTTTTTTTTAATTTTTCAAATTTTTAGATATCTTCGATACAGTGCTATTGCAGCACGACAAGTACGTGAATCGGTAAAAAAAGAATTACGTCGTGATCCAATTGTCGATACGTTGACTATTAAACGTTCGGATAAAAAACAAGCTGTAGCTAAATAGAAATTATTGAAAACCTTAAATTGTGGGTAATCAATTCAATCCGTAATCTATGGTCCAAATTAATTGAAAAAAATTGATAAATTTCCATTATGATTTTAGAATAATTAAAGAAACAAAAAAAAATTTTCTAAAAAAAAAAATTTCCTTTTGTTTTTTCGATTCGTTCGATAACACTATTTCAACAACGATGGTTGAGTAATGTTACAACAACAACAACAAAAAAAATCCGAGTTGTTTACCAATTTTTTTTTTCATTCAAAACACATTTGATATTCGAATATTGGTGTTGTGTTTTTTCTCTTTCAATTCTGGTTGATTTCTTGGTTTTTAGATTTTCATATATTTACAATAATGACCAAATTTTGATTGTTTTTAAATAATTATTCAAATTGATATATTTTACAAAACTTATTTTAATAATAATAATAATAATGAATCAATCAAAATCGAATGAATCGATACAAATCGATCAAGATAATAATCAATCAAATTGTTCAATATTATATGTTATGGTTGTCGGTTTTCATCATAAAAAAGGTTGTCTAATTGATTATTGTTATCCTTCATTACCAAAATCTTGTACAAATTCTTCTAATAATAATAATAATAATAATAATGAATCAAACTGTGATAAAATAACCAACAATTCAACAACAACAAATGAATTACAATTAAATCAACAAGATTTAATTAAATTACCTGATTGTTGGAAATCATTGCCTTCATTAGCTATACCGGATGGTGCACATAATTTTGAACGTGATTCGGTTTATTTTCATTTACCCGATCTTTTTGATCCAACACGTACTGTATTCGGTGTTGCTTGTTATCAACAAATTATGACCAAAGTATGAATCCTTTGTCCTTATTTATTTGTTTGTTTCAATGAATCATATTACTAATGAAAAAAAAATTTTTTTTTTCAATGAAAAACAAAACAGATTTTACGTGTACGTACACCCGATATGACCAGAAGTTCTGTACAAAAAAGTGTTGTTGCTATTATTACTGCACCACTTTATGGTCTAGTTGAAAGAAAATTACGTATCATAACAAGAAATTATTTTCAAGAATTAGATTTTAGTAAAACACAAATCTTGAATGAATTTTATCAATCAATGTCATTGCAGCTTCGACCAACATTAATTAAAACAAATGAAATCTATTATGGTTTATCATTACGAAATTTATTCCAAAAATTTGGTCAACAAATTATTATTTTATTTAAATTATTATTATTGGAAAAGAAAACATTATTCATCATGTCACCTATTCGTGATCTATCTTGTACGATTTTAACATTATGTTCATTATTTCCCGGTCTTTTATCCAATGGATTGTTACAATCACATTTACCGAGCGAAATCAAATCCACAACAACAACAACAACGAAGAATCCAATCAAGAGCTTAACAAAAATTTCCACAAACCCATTAAACGATTCTAATCAAATTGAAACTAAATCTGAATCAAAATCTAATCCAAATAATGATTATGAAACGAATCCAACAATGTCAATTTTATCAAAATCTAATGATATGTCTTCGTCGATTACATCAACAATATCGTTATATGATCAGGAAGATCAATCAACCGTTAATCAAATGGATTTAAATTCATTTGATGGATTGATTGATTTGAATGATGAATTTTATGATGATAATGATGATGATCCTCGAAGTGAATATTCTGAAACAAATTCCACTAATCGTACGATACGAGATTCTCAAGAAATTCTTATCAAACCAGATGAATATTATGGCTTACCATTACAATTATTCAAATGTCATTCATATTGTTTACCATATTGTTCAATATCATGTTTTGAAATGTTAAATAATCCAAATGTTCGTTCTTGTTTGGCCGGATCATCAAATTCAATATTTCAACGTTGGGAAAATGATTTTGATGTTTTTGTTGTTGTAAGTTTTAGAAATTTGTTGTTAAAATTTTTTAAAAATCCATTTCAATTGTCCAATCCAATTTGTCAGGATAATCAAATTTCAATCAATAATAATCATTTAAAACGTATACTAACACCAACTGTGGAAGATTTACGTTTTATTTCATTTTTATTACGTTCAATGAATGAATCAACAATAATAAATAATGAACATGATGATGATGATAATGATAATAATAAACGATATCAACCCGAATCTGAAGATTATAATGAATATGTTGAAAATTTGGAACAAAATCAACATTATCTTTATGAAGGCAGTGATTCATGGTGTCGTTATCATTTTAAAAATTATTTAATTCATATGTTAAGATGTTCATTTATGGATGGTAATTTTATTTTAAATTTTTTATTCAAATAACCATTTTTTTATTTAACTATTTTTAGAAACAAACAAAGAATATCGAGCTTTTAATGCTGGATTTATGGCTGAATGGAAACAAACATATAGTTATAAACATTGGCTGAATAGCCAAAATATTGATGGAAAATCGATTGAAGAAATTTTCCGAACAGAAATTGAACCACAACATCCATTTGCAGCAAATCGTTTGAATGATATTCGATTTAAAATTACTAAGTAAATTTCGTTTTATTTTTCCAAAATTATTTCTATTAATTTTTTTGCACTAGTTTTCTAAACAATCGCCAAGAACATATCAATAATGCATCCAAAGTTGTGATAAATTCAGCTAAATCAACATTCAATTCATGGATTTCATCATTAGGATCATATCATTCGAATGCTGGCCAGCAAGCAAAATCATTAATAAACAAAACTGTTCAATTTGCTAATCAATTAATTGAAGATCCTAATCAAAATGATGATGATTTTAATGGAAAAAAAGAATCAAATATTACGACCTCATCTTCATCATCATCATCATCATCATCCGATAATGATGATGAACGACGAAAACGATATCGTCATCGATTAAAAACATCATCCAGACAACAACAGAAGCATCAATCAAACCAAAGAAGACAAGGCCAAGAACATTCATCAAAACGATCATCGGATTTTAATCTTGATGAATCAGATCCTGATGTTGAAGAACAAGAAACTAGTGTTTGAAACAAAAAACAAAATAATCTAATAATTTCTATCTCATTTACCCCTTTTACAACCCGAAAAAAAATTCGTGATAACATTCAAATTTTGATTAAATTAAAATTTAGTTAAAAATTTTTTAAAAACTTTTCAATATTTTTTAAAATATAACTTGTTTTTTTTGAATCATTTTCAAATCATTTTCATATAATAAAAACAACAAAAAAAACATTAAGGTAAATAAATATGAAACTAATAGTGGTGTTTGGCTGATTGTAGTGGATCATTTCTTTTGAAAAAAGGCTCATTAAATGTATAGATGTGCAAATTTTTTTTTTAATTTAAAAATGGCATTATGGTGATTCATTTGTTTAATTAACTAATTTTCTGAACGAGGCGATGGGCGAATTTTAATCGAAAAAAAAACAAGAAACAAAAAAGGCAGCTTCACATCACTTCAAATCAATCCTTGTTGTCCGTAATCTTCAAATTTTCAATATCTGTTTTTTTTGGTTTTGACGAGAGAAAAAAATTGAAAATTAAAAACAAACATTTTTTTTCGTTCATCAAACACTACATAAATCTAAAATCTAATCTATTATATAGAGGATAAATACCGATAATAATTCGGTTTGAATGGCCCAGATTTAGAAATGCCCATATATTTTTCCTGTTCTTCAGTCAATACGGTAAGATGAGCATTGAATGATGCTAAATGCAAACTAGCTACATATTCATCTAGAAAAATAGAAAGATTTTTTTTTAAATGATGAGAATTAATTATTTGATTTGATTACCCATTTTTTTCGGCAACAAATAAACATCCGATTTATAACGACCTGCTGGTGCTTTATATAATTCAATCAATGCCATTACTTGTGTTGTACAGGTAATTGATGCAACAAATGATGGCATATGTGAACAGCTTAAATTTGCAATACGACCTTGTCCAAGTAATATTAAACGTTTACCATTTGGCCAAATAATATGATCAACTTGTGAACGGATTTTTTCCCATATTAAATCCGATGTTCGAATACTTTTCTAAATGGATAGAGTAAAAATAGTGAAATATGATTTTTGAATGAAAATTTAAATTAAAAAAAATCAACTTACAACATCAATTTCACTATTGGAATGTCCCATATTACAAAGTATGGCACCATCTTTCATTTTATCCATATGTTTACGGATAATAATATTTTTATTACCGGTTGCAGTAATAACAATATCAGCAGTTGAAATCATTTCTTCAACAGTTACAACACGAAAACCATCCATGCTATTTTCAATGATTAAAACAAAATTAGAATAGATTTTTTTTTTGAATAAAATCATGAAACAAAAAAAAAATGAAAATTTTACCAAGCTTGTATTGCACAGATTGGATCAATTTCGGTGACAAAAACAATAACACCAGCACCTTTTAATGCTGATGCACAACCTTTACCAACTTCACCATAACCACAAACCAATGCAATATGTCCACCTAATAATGTATCAGTTGTACGTTTTAATCTGTAGCCAAAAAAAGTGTAGCCAAAAAAATGTAGCAAAATGAATTTTGAAAATTGAAAAAATGTAGCAAAATCAATCAATCAATCGATACACTTACACTTCAATTATTGATTCTCTGGGTGAATAAAGATTATCAAATTTTGTTTTAGTTACCGAATCATTAACATTAATAGCTGGTACTAAAAGCTTATTTGTTTTTGATAATTGATATAAACGATGTACACCAGTTAATGATTCTTCAACAATTCCTTTCAATAATTTTATTGATGCAGGATATTTTTTTAACATTAAATGTGTTGCATCACCACCATCATCAAGAATCAGATTTGGACGCCATGAATCGGTCAATAGACATTGATCAATACACCACCAAAAATCATCTTCACTTTGTCTTGACCAAGCAAAAACTGGTATACCACGTTCAGCTAATGCAGCTGCAACAGAATCTTGTGTAGAATAAATATTACATGATGACCATCGTACAGTAGCACCTAGTTTTAATAAAGTTTCAATCAAAACCTAATGGAAAAAAAATATCCTAAAAAATTGAAAGAAACAAAAAAAAAATTTACAAAAAAAAACATACAGCAGTTTGCGCATTGATATGTGTACAACCCATCACACGAGCTCCTTTTAATGGTTGATCATCTTTTGCCGATTCTCTTAGGGCAACAATTCCTGGCATACCACGTTCAGCATATTCAATTTCACGACGACCAAAATCAGCATCTCTTATATCACGTACACAAAAATCGGTTTGTTTTCGAGAATTTTGTAATTTTGGTTGTCGTAATCGTGGTGAAATTGATTCATAATCATCATCTGAATCATCATCATCATCAACAGAATCTTCTTCATCATCATCACTTGTATATGATGATGGTATTGATGATTGTGAATCACGACGATGACGATTAGTTGTAGTTGATTGTTTTTGTTGTTTGCCAGTAGATTCAGGTGATAATGATTTTTGCCGATGTTGTACATCGGTTGTTGTTGTTTGAGTTGCTGATGTTGCTTTAGCAGCTGCTGCTGCCTGTGAATCCAATGAGCTAACAATTTTGGCAACAATACCGGCAGTTGTTTTCGGTACATCTGTTTGATGACTTGCCATTAAACGTTCCATTTTTTCAACAATCGATTCTTGTTCCATAATTGTTGTTGTTGCTGTTGTTAATGATTGACGATTTGTCACTGGTAAACTCATACGACGACGATGTCGTTGTTTAAAATTTAGATCATCAAATTCGGTGGTTGGTTTTCGAAACTAAAATTCAATGATCAAAAATCAAATAAATGATTTTCAATGAAACAAAATCATAAAATGAATAAACCGGTAAAGGTAAAAATTGCAAATTTTAAAACGAACAAAAAAATTGATTAATAAATAAATATCAAGGTAGCTAATCAATCAATCAAAAAAAGGCAAACCTAACCTATTTGAAATTTTTTCTGTTATTTGAACCAAACCGAACAATAAAACATTCAAATAAACGCCGACACACACACACACAATCAAGTCATCAAATGAATGTCAAAAAAAACAGAAAACCAGAAAACATTTAACAAAATAAATAAATTCATAATAAAATGACATTCATATCGATGTTCACCGATCATCATCATCATCATTTATTGTAACAAAATGTTATGAAAAATCAGAAAAAAATTGAATTGAAATGAAATTTCAAGGTTAAATCAATATAGTTTATCAAATTACTAAAAAAAATCATCATCATCATCATCGAATAAATTCTAAATAGAGAGATCAAATTGATCAACCGACGATGAACAAAGTATTAAAAAAAATGAAAACAAAATCGGAAAAAAAGATCAATAAATTATTATTATGATTATCGTTTTGTTTTTTTTTTTTGGAGTAATTAAAAACGAAACAAATCAATCAATCAATCGTTAATGAATCGAATGATTGAATCAATTAATTAATTGATTACCAGTACATTTTTGTTTTCGAATTAAAGTAGCAAAACAAACAAACAAAAAGTATTTCGTTTTTTTTCATGATATTCTCTATCTTTTTTTCTTTTCTTTCCTTTACATTCAATATGTTTTGCGTGTGTGTGTGATATATTTATGATGATATTCTGATGATGATGATGGTGGTGGGTGTAATTAAAATGGCCAAACCAAAATACACAACACGCCAACACACACACACACACTCAAAGAAATGAATGTAAATTGTGAAATTACAAAGAAAATGATGATGAAAGAATTAAATTTTTTTTTTCAGTTAGCTAGATATTTACAAAAGAATTCATGATAATTATGGATTTGGATTTTTTTTCTCTGGAAACAGGTAAACTCCAGCTTTCTCTAGCTATATGGATGATTGATTATTTTGATTATATGTGTGTGTTTGTGTGTGAGTGATTTTATTGATGAAAGTTGAACAACGAGCGAATGATGAAATTCTTCACATCACATCATCATTGACATTCAATTTTTTAAAAAAATTTATTTAAAACGACAAAAAAAGTGGATTTTTTTTTGAAAAAAAACGAAGGATGTTTGATTGATTGATTGATATGAAAATAATTTTTGTTTTTTTGAAAAATTGAATTATAGCAAACCTGAAATTCAGCTTTAGTTGCTTCAGCTATTGCTGAACTATGGCTAATTGCAACATCCGTTGTTGTTGTTGTTGCTGTTGTCGATTGTTGCTGATTATTAGATTTCATAATGAAATTTTTTATTTTTGAAAATTAATTAAAATCAAAAAATGAAATTATTTTTGCTTTTTTCCCTGATTTTTCAATGGAAATTCTCGGTGAAGATAATTTTAACACCAAAAAACAACTATAGGTCACGCACAAATTAACAAAAATTTAAACATTTACGAAATAAATCATCATTGATACAATAAATTGGAACCCAGTTTTGTGTTTTTATTTGGTTTCAGAAGAACAACAGCCAAAGTAGAAAAGTCATAAAAATTTTTTTTTGTTTGTTTGATTTTGACAAACCAAAAATGACTTTGTCAAATTTGTTTCGCCTGAACAGCACAACAATAACAATCAGAAAAAAAAATTGGAACAAAGATTCAGGCGCCACCACCATCAACACATAGATATTCTGTATTCTTTTTTTTTCTTGTTCGTTTCATTTATTTGAATGATGATCCATACCGTACACACACGCCGCACACATTGATATATAGAGTGAGAGAGAGAATAGCTATTTTCAGAATAAGAATATTTTCAGCAAAAAAACAAAGCAAATGTTTTTGGTCCATAAAATCAATGTTGCCGATGATGTTGTTGTTTGAAGAAAGAAGCAATGGAACAAAAAAAAACAAACTAGCTCTATATATATTTTTTTGACCTGATTTGTATTTTTTTTTAAATATTATCATTATGGACACTATTTATCAATCAAAACAGACAAAAAATATTTAACAACATTAGGTTTCTGTTCGTTTTTTTTCCCTATTCATTAACATTAACATTTTTTTGTTTGTTTGTTTGTTCAATCAAACAATCAACATCTCTGTTTTCAATCAAATCATTATTATTATTATTTAACTGTGTTTATATTCAATTTGTATTGATTGAAATAATAATAATAATAATAATAAAAGTTTTTTGTTTTTACAAAATAATCCGAAAAACTTACTTTATATTTACAGTTGGTGGTGGTGAACTGATTTTGATCAAATTTCAAATTTTTCAATTATTTTTCTTTCTCTGTGTTTTAAATATAATCAAATAATCATCACTTGTTTAATTTCAGATTGAAATTAAACAAAAAAAAACAGAAACAAATTTAACCGAAAACATCAAACACACATGTTGCATGCATGCAGACATTGTGTTAAAAAAAAGGCGCATGCGTGTATGACCGTACAAATATTCTATATATATTCTTTGTCGGTTTGAAAAATTTGAAAAAAAAACGAAAAAATTAAAGAAATCTTTAACACAGAAATGTATTCGAGGGAATTTTACGATCAAAATAAGGGTGATCCACACTCACAGATAATCATCATGACAGTTTGAATGTTTTGAACTGTTGATTGGATTGGATTTGTAAGAAAAGAAAAGGAAAACAATTTCGGAAATCAAATCAAAATCAAACAAAATGATTAGATTATTTCATATCAATACACAAATAAGACATGTGTTGAAATATTTTTCTGTTTTTGGTTTTTGGCTTTGATGATAATTTTCACTAATACTAATATTTCTGGTTTCGATTATCAATCAATCAATCATCATCATCATCATCATCATTAATTTCATTTAATTTTAATTTGTTTTTACAAAAAAAAATTAAAATAAAATGATTCGAATTTTAATATTGATCACTAGTAAGTTTATTGATTGATTGATTTTTTTATATGAAAAAAAAACAAAAATTTTTTCCTCAGATTTTCTAATTATTCATTCATCGGATTTACAAATAAATTCCATTAAATCAATTGATTTAAATAGAAATAAATTTGAAAAGGATTTAATTTTGAATCGTTTACAAAGATGTTGTACAATTGGACATAATCAAATTATTGATTATAGATATAATAATGATAATGATGATGATAAATGTCAAATTAAAAATAAAAAATTATTAAAAATTCAAAAAAAATTTCAAAATCAATTTGAACAACAATTATGTGAACAAATCTATCAGGTTTGTTGTCAAAATTCATTAATTGAACATTATTGTAATATTGGTCTTTCGATGGCTATTAAAATAATGAATTTTTCCAATGATAATAAAACAACAACATCAACAACAACATGTCAAGAACAATTTCTAAAAAATTCATCCAATATTAACCGTCATAATAATCCAAAATCATATCGTTGTTGTCAGGATTGTATTTCAGGTTCATTAATTGGTGAATATTTTCGTTCAATTAATTATTGTTATCAAATGGATAATGTAATTAATCATCATTCAAAATTGGATTGGATTTTTATGGACGATAATCAACAACCACAACCACAACCACAATCAACAATAAAAATATCACCATTTTTAGAATGTTGTAGCAAAAAAATTGATACATTAAATAAAAAAAATGATACATCATCAACAACAACAACAATAATAACATCAGATGATTTGGATCTAAATGAATTAGATTATGATAATAATGATGATGATAATGATTCTATGATGATAATCGATAATCAAAATGATCAATTAAAATCAAAATTGATTAGAAATTCTACAATTGATAATAATGAAAATAATGATTATAACAAATGTTCAATTGGTTTTCAATGGGATCATTTGGAAAATATTTGTAAAGATTTAAATGAATGTCAAATCGGTACACATACTTGTCATGAAGCATTAAGATGTGATAATACAATCGGTTCATTTCTTTGTGTTCGTGTACAAGATTGTGGTACTGGTTATACAATTAATGCCGATACATATGAATGTGATGATATTGATGAATGTAAATTAAATATTCATCATTGTGGATCGGATTATCGTTGCCGTAATACACAAGGTTCATTTAAATGTGATCGTATTCGTTGTCCACAAGGACAGGTTTTAGTAAATGGATTTTGTCGTCGTACTAATTGTGATCAACAACAACAATCATCAAATATGATGATATTTAATTATGAACTAGGTATTTGTCAACCGAAAAAAGATCCTTGTTCAAATAATCCATGTTTACCAACCGAAAGATGTCTAATTAATCCAAATGATGCTGATAAATTTGAATGTGTTTTACATTGTTCACCTGGTTATCGATTTAATCAGAAAAGTAAGAATTTTTTTTTGGTTAAATCAAATTTTGATTGATTTTTCGTTTTCGTTTTCTGTTCATTTTAATAGCAATGTTATGTGAAGATATTGATGAATGTTTTGAACAAATTGATCAATGTGAATTAAATCAACAATGTAAAAATATGGATGGTTATTATCAATGTGAATGTAAATTAGGTTATGAATTTGATCAACAACAAAGAAGATATTGTGTTGATACAAATGAATGTCTTCGACCGGATATAATCAATGAATGTTTAAAACAATCAAAAATTTGTTTGAATACAATTGGTTCATATCGTTGTGATTGTCCTAATGGTTATCAATGGAATTCAACTATTGAAAAATGTCAAGATATTAATGAATGTTTAAAATTTGAATTAAATCATTGTGAACATTTATGTCATAATACAATAGGTAATTATGAATGTAAATGTTTTGATGGTTATCGTTTGATGGCAAATAAACAAAATTGTACCGATATTGATGAATGTTTTGATTGGAATCCATTTGGTCAAAGTCAATCCAACAGTCAATCATCATCATCATCAAAAATTGATTCGAAAAAATGTCACGGTATTTGTCGTAATCAAATTGGTTCATATCGTTGTGAATGTCCAAAAGGTTTTCAATTCGATAATCATTCCAACATTGATAATCATTGTATCGATTTAAATGAATGTGATAATAATGAAACAATTTGTCCATATTCATTAGCATCAACAACAACAAGAAAACATTGTATCAATTTATATGGATCATATGAATGTGCTGATATTCAATGTCCATTTGGTTATGAATTTAGACGAACGAAACAAAGGTAAATTAATTTAAATAATTAAATCACTAATTTTTAATTATTTCAAAACAAAACCAGTATACAATGTATTTGGTTAGATAAACAACGAAATCATCTTTCGATTGGAAATGATTATCATCAAATTGATTATCTTTATTATTCAATTTATCGTACAAAAACAAGATTTTTAAATGGTACAAATTCAATGTATTTATATACAGTACGTTTAGATTCATATCCGAATAATGAAAATCGTACATATTTTATATTAAGATTAATCAATACAAAATGGTTACCATTACAATATCCAGAATTTGAAAAATATGATCCAAAACCGGATGATTTTCAATTAGCAAAACGTAATCATTTTAATTTACGTTTAAATTCACGACAAAATGAAGCAAATGTTGAAATTGTCTGGCCATTATATGGACCACAAAAAATTCAATTAGAATTATTATCCAGTGGTTATCGATTTGGAAAATTTATACGACAAAAATCAATATTAATATTATTTGTTGGTGAATTTGATAAATTTTGATTTTCAATTTATTGCCAATTTTGATTCATCACTTAAATTGATTATTTTTTCAATAAAATTTAATAATTTTGTTTGAATTTCAATATCACGAGAATTATTTGTTAAATGAAAACCAGGTATTTCAGCATCCATTAATGTTTTTTGTTGTTCACGAACATTTTTATCAACACAATGTAAAATATGTGTATCAATTGATAGAATTTTTTCTTCATAATGTTTTTTCATTTCCTTTTTTTGTTTTTGAAAAAAAAATCAATTAGAATTTTAAGTTAATGAATAACAAACAAACATACTTTAAGTAATTCATCACGTTTGAATAATGTAATTTCACCATTTGAAAATTTTTTCTCAACTTGTTCAATTTTATTATTTCGTTTAGCTTTGTTGGGGGGTATTCAAGAAAAAAAATAAAGAATAAATGAAACGTAAATTGAAAGAAAAAAATTAAGTTTACCATCAACTTTGGCAATCATTGAATCACGTTGTTGCATTAATTCATATTCATGATTAACTTGTTGTAAACGTAACATAATCAATATATTAATAACAGTTTGATCTAATAAACTTGTTGCCAAATCGGATAATAATTTATCATCGATATATTTTTTTAAATGACTAATTGAATGAATTAGTTATTTGTCGATACAAAAAAAACCCAATTTGAATAACAAACCTGCAATTATCATCATTGTCCAACATAGATTTAAGACGATCAAAATAATATTCATATGATGGATTCGAATCGGACATTATTCGTTTTTATCTGATCAAACAAACAAAAAAATCATTCGAAATCAAAACGAAAAACAAAAACAAAACAAAAAACATTACTCAAACATACAATAAAATTTTTATTAAAAATTGTTTTTCGATCAACAGATGGCGATAGCTTATTCGACAAGAATGTTCGAAAAAATGGACGAAAAGAAAAAAGAGAAAAACATTCGAAAAAAATGCTGTTGTTATTCGAAACATATCATTGAGAATCGAACGAATTGAGTGTCAAAAAAAAATTTTTTGGTTTTATTCAGGGAAAAATTAATTGAATTAAATTAAATTAATTGATTAATTTTTAAAAAAATATCTAAATTTGATCCAAAATTTAGAATTGAATTTGCCAGCTAAGTATATAATTTTGTGTATCCAATTCATCGATCATTGTTGATGATCCAGATGATGATGATGTTGATGTTGTTGATGTTCGTGATTTTAATGATCCCGATGATGATAATGATGATGATGATGAATATGATGGCGGTGGTGGTGGTGGCGGCGGCGGAGGTGGTGGTGGTGGTAAAGGTGGATTAGGAATCGGTAATGAATGAATTGGAGGTAATGGTGGTAATGATATTGATGGTGATGATGATAATGATAATGGTTCAAATGATTCTGTTGTTGATGATGATTCTGATTTTGATCGATAATGATTTTGATTATTATCATCAATCATTGGTGATAGATAAGACATTGATGATAATTCACATGATGTTGTTGTTGTTGTTGTTGGTGATGATAATGATGATTTTTGTTGTTGTTGTTGTTGATCGATCAATGATATCGGTGGTGATTGATTAATCGGTGTTGTATTATTCGATTCGTATAATGGTAATGATAATGATGATGAACAGGAAGAAATATTACTACCACTACCACTACCACCATTATTATTATTACCATTACCACTTGTTGATGAACGTCCACGTAAAAAATGTTTAGCAATAGTTTTAATATAATTTTTAAATTGATTACTTATTGTATTATCAGTTATAACATTATCAGTTGTTGTTGTTGCTGTTGTTGTTATAATTAATTCATCATCCAAATTAACAATAAATTGTTCATAACCTTCACCACCTGATATTAAATAATGATCACCATTTGTTGTTAAATGACTTTTTATAAATTTAACATTATTACGATGTCCATTTGATACTATATTTTAAATAGTAATTAGTAATTGAATAAAAAAGATTAATTTAATTACAAAAATTACAAAAATATAAAATTTAAAACAAACCAATATCCAATGTATTTGTTTTATCCAATAAAACAATAACACCTAATGATGTACCAAATAATATACGATCACGTATTGAATGTATTGATGTTATTTTCATAAAATTTTGATCAATTATTACTTCAGTTGGTATATTTAATAATTTTCCAATTGATAATTCAATTGAAATTTTTTGTAATAAATTATATGGCTGTTGATTTGCTTGAAAACGATATATAATTGAATTTTCTGTTGATGCAATCAAAATTGTTTGATTATTTTCAATAATAAATTCAATTTTATTCAATTCGTTTATTTGAATCGGTTCCTTTTTTAAAAAAATCGGCGTGTGTGTGTTTTCGTGTGCGTGGGTGGCCAGAAAAAAAATCAAAAAATGATGGGAAATGTTAAATGTGAATGAAAAAAACATGAAAAGTTTAAAAAAAAAATATATTTACCGTCAATTGATTTAGATAAACATCACGTATAAAAATCATATTTTTAGTTATTGTCCATATTGTTTGAAATTCTTCCAAAATACATAAACGATAACAATAACAATTATTTAATAAATATTTTGGTTTAATTTGCCAATAATTTTTTTCATTATTTATACCAAATATAGCAACATGACCATTTTCCATACAAACATAAACTTTTTGATCAAAATATTCAATTGTTTCAATTTTTGAATGTAATTCGATTTTAGATTTTTTTCCAATCCGTACTGAATTTAAACCAGAATAAATTAATAGATTACCATTACTAGTACCTAACCACATTGTTGATGATTCAGGTGATATCATTATATTATTATTATTATTTGGATTATTATTATTATTATTATTACGACGATAATGTTTTGTTTGACCAAATAATAATATTGATTCATTTGTATTATTATCGATTGTATCGATTATTGTATCTGTTGTTTCTAATGATCGTTGTTTTTGTGATAAAAATCTATTACGCATCAATAATGAACTATCATTTTCTTCAATCATATTATCATTAGTTTTTTTCAAATTATCCAATTCTGTTGTTAATGATGATGATGATTCTATAGGATTTTGTTGATTATCATTATCATTATTGATAACATTGTAAAGAAATGAAAGTCGATTACGTTCACGTTCATTTTGTTGTTGTTCACGTTGAACAGGTAATGATGATGATGATGATGAATGATGATGACGATGATGATTTTTGTTATTTGTATGAAATTTTTTTACAATCGAACAAATTGATGGTACAGATTTCATACAAACAATTTCATTATTACAAATAAAATTTGATGATATTATTTGACCGGGTTTTTGATTTAATGATAATACATTAATTTGGCCATATGATTGATCAGAATTTAATATCCAAATATGATCAACACCGATAACCGATTCAGCACATTTGAATGGTATTTTTGTACGTTCATGTCTATGAAGGTTTTTCAGTTAACCAAAAGAAAAAAAACGATAAAAATTTAAATTTAAAAAAATGGAAATGCAAAGCAAAAAAACAACAACATTAGAATAACATACGGATATTGTATTTGACCCAAATAATTAAGCTGAAATTTTGATTTTAAAATCAATTCTTTTAACCAACCGATAAACAATTCAAAATCATAACGTTTTTCAACATTATCAAATGTAATATTAAATATTATTTGTTGATCATCATTTATATTTGTTGTTGATTGATTATTATTATTATTATTATTACAATTGTTGCTGTTCGATACATTTGTTATTGAATCATCACCATCATCATTATTATTAATTAATTTACGATAATGTTGTTCACAATAATAATGTGTTGAACGTAATCTATGATGATTTTGTTGTTGTTGTTGTTGTTGTTGTGTTGATAGAATTAAATCTGTTTGACAATTTTCCATTTGTAAATCCTGTTGATTAATTATTGAATTAAAATCGTTTATTGGAAAAAAATTTCTATCCAAATGTTTTGTAGTCAATGTTGATGTCGATGTTGTTTGTATTAATAAATCAACTGAACAATCTTTTGTACAACGATATAAACTTTCTTTCATTTCAGCCAATTGTTTCACAATTAATAATAAATAATTTGTAAATGTTTTTTCAATTATATTCCTTATGGATAATGTTTCAATTTCTTTCATTAAATTTTGTAATTCATAAATTTTTTGTACATCTAATTGTAATTTATCAATACAATCAGGACAATTATAAATTGGAATTGTTGTTGTTGATGATTCTATTAATAAATTATTTAAAAATGATTGTTGTTGATGCTGTTGTTGTTGTTGATCAGATAATAAACATTGTTGTTGTTGTTGTTGTTGATTACGTTGCCAACATTGACATTTTAAATCAATTTGTTCAATAGGTATCGATTGTTGTAATCGATATTCATAATTAATTAATGATCGTCGTTTATTTTTATTAATACGTTCAGCTAATAATATTTTATCAGATAAAACAAATAATGCACCATCTAAATCTTGTTGTTTACGTTGTTTACGAATAATTATATTATCAAAAATATAAACTAAACAATCAGATGGATATTGATTACAAATTGTTTGTGTTTCATCAACTAATGTTGATAAATCTTTTATCTGTATTGTAATTGGTCTTTGTGGTTGTTGTTGTTGCTGTTGTTGTTGTTGTTGTTGTTGTTGCGATTGTTGTTGTTGTTGTTGTTGATCTGGTCGACCTATTTTATCTAGAAAAATTTGTAATTTTTCTATATTTTTTTCGGTTTAAAAATGATTTATAGATTAAATGAAAAAAAAGAAAAAGAGGGAAAATAAAATTCATAAGAACAATATGAATAAATCATTTGAAAAAAAACAAGAGAAAGGTAATAATTTTAAAAAAACAAAACTGTGAATAAGAAAACACATTGTAATTGTATATTGTAGAAATTTTTTACCTTTTGCTTTTTGTAATAATTCATAATCTTCATCATTATGATTATAATCACGAGTGTTAATAGCTATTAATCTTGTTAAAAACATATTATATTGTGGAAAACGTTGTATAGTGAATATAATCATATCTTGAAATGTCATTCGTTCACATTGGCTACGTTTTATTGTTGTTTGATCATCGTTGTTGAAATTTTGTTGTTGTTGTTGTTGTTCACCATTATTACGTTGAAATTTTTTTTCAAAACTTGACCTAGACAAACGATGTCCATATTGTTGTTGCTGTTGTTGTTGCTGTTGTTGATTATTATGATGAGAAGTATTTCTTGATTGATGTGGTTCACCAATCAATTTCAATATAAATGCAATACGAAAATAATTTTCAACCATACATAAATAAAAATTTAATAATTTTTCCTCTTCCGTTAATAATATTTCAAATATTTTACCAATCGATTTTGTTGTTTCTGTTGTTGTTGTTGTTTTCGATAACCATTCATTTTTTATTGATTGTAAATTTTTTAAAAATTTTAAATGTATTTCCATTATAATTGGCCATAATTCTATTATTGTTTTTAAATATTCTGGACATATTGTATTAGTTTGTTGTTGTTGTTGTTGTTGTTGTTGTTGTTGTCCTTGATGATTAACAACAACATTATTACCTAACTGTTGTGATAATAATGTTGTTGTTGTTATTGTTCCAATATTTGTAACCATTATACAACGTATTATATATTTTTCATATAATATTTTTAATATTTCACAATAACGTTTTTCAGTATCAAATAATTCATTTATAATATCCCAACATCGATCCTATGGTAAAACAAAAAACAAAAATGTTTGGTGTTTGATCAAACCAGAACAACCAGAACTAAAAAAAACCAACCCAAACAACATACCTTAAATTTATTTAAAGAAATTTTCTTACATTCATCATCATTATCATCAGAATTTATCACTAGATTTGGTTCACAATTATTTTGTTGTTGTTGTTGATTAATATCATCAATCGTTTCGTTTATATTTTTATCAATTATTATTGGATTTGTAATTAGTAATAATTTTTCATTATTATCATTATCATTATTATTTTCATTATTTATTATTATTGTTGAATCATTTGATTCGGATTGTTTATTATTAATATTTTGTTCAAATGATTTTAATGTATTATTATCATTATTATAATTACATGATGATGATGATGTTGAATTAGTTGTAATTAATTTTGAATAATAATTATCATCATTATTATTCATTGGAATTAAATTATTATTATCAATATCCAAAACTAATGTTGTTGATGATGATGATGATGGTGATTGATTCATCATCATCATCGATTGATTATTATTATCATTATGATGATCACCATATGATGATGATGGTGATGTTAATGTTGTTGTTGTTGATGGTAATGTACAATTACATTTAAATTTATGTAAAAATGAATTACTTTTACAATATTGATTCTGATTAATCATTGGATTTGATTTAAAACGTAATGTTTGTGACCATTTATTCATTGGTTTATTATTTGATGTTGGTGATGATAATAATGTTGTTGTTGTTGTTGTTGGTGATGTTTGATTCTCCAATGACAATGATAATGTTGATGATGATTGTGAATGTTGTTGTTGTTGTTGTTGTTGTTGTTGTTGTTGTTGTTGAATAATGGGCGATGATGATTTAATATTTTGGCCATAACCAAAATTATCATTATTATTATTATTATTATTATCGTTATTTTCAATAAAAATTAATGATGATGATGATGATGATGATGAATCTGGATGAATCGTATTTGTTTCATTGGAATCCATTATTTTTGATTTTTGATTTTTATATGTTGTTATTGTTAATCAAATAACAACCAAAAATCAAATGATGATCATGGATTACAATTTTTTTTTTGTTTCTTTAGATCATTCAATTTCACCATCAACAACGGATTGAAAAAGTAACTAAAATCAAAGCGAAACAAATTCTAATTTTAAAAAGCCATTTTAGAAACCCAAGAAAGCTTTCTTTCTTTCTTTCTTAAATCTTAAACATCACTGCTACTACGACAAGAATTTTTTTATTCTGATTGTGAAATAAATAAAACAAACAAACGAAATGAAAGGGAAAGGAAAGAAAAAAGATGCAATGATGATGATATACAGACTAAATTGATGCGTCATTATTATTATTATTGGCAAATGATGCCAAGAAAAAAAATGAAAGAATCAAAAGTTAGAATCTAAGAAAGAATTAAAGAATCTTGTTTGAAATGATGAAAGAAAATAGAAATTATTCATTCATTCATTCATTTTTGTTGTTGTTGTTGAAAAATATAATTAAGATTCAATCGGTTGAAAAATGAAAATTTTACATTTTTTTATTTTAAAAAAATGTGATTAATGTTAGGTTTGTTATAACATTGATAGTTCAATTAGGTAAGGTTTCTCTAACGTTTTTTTTGTGATGAACATGAACTTAAACTTTTTGGCTAATGAAAAAAAAAATTATTCAATGATGATGATGATTATGTTGCTGTTGAATAAACCTTGAACATTGCATAGACACACACACACACATAATACATATGTTCAATGAATTTCCGTTTATGTTTTTTTTTGGTTGAAAACGTTTCGCTTTATGCTTCAAGTTCAATGTTAGAAGAAAAAAAAACCAAACAACAAATCGCATATGTTCGAGATTCTTTTTGTAAACAACGGAATATTCTTCTCGATTTTTTTTCATTTAAAAGTTTTAAAAACAACCATAAAATTATGATTTTTTTTTCGATTAAATTAAAATTTTTTTTGAAGGTTTTTTTTACGATTTAACATTGAACTTGTGGAATTTATATTTATTGATTGGCTTGTCAAATAGTTTACAACAACAACAACAACAATAATAAATTATTTTTTGGCATCCATCCAAATAACATTTAACACTAATTCATTCTTCTTTTGGTTTCTGTTTTCTGTTTTTTGTTTTGTTTTTTTGCATTAGGAATGTTTTTCCTTTCTTTTTTTTCGCTACACAGAAATACCAAAGAAAGAAAGAAAGCAAAAAGGTGTGATCAAACTGATCGAATTGAATCGATAAGATCGATTTGTTTTGACCATCGACTATTCGACTATTTCCTATACTTGATTTACCTGCCTACCAAAAATCAGTAACAATCTAAAGAAAAACACATAGCAAACAAAAACATGTTTGGCGTTTGTTTGATGCTACTACTTCTACATTGCCTCTCTTTGTGTGTATGTGTTTCAGATTTCAAATTTTCTGATAACAAAACTAACCAATCAACCAAATGAAAAAAGAGAAAAACCTGGCACTATAATGATTGAAGGTTATGTGTTTGTAATAATACGTTTATAAAGTTGATAAATTAATTATAAATTTTTATTTTAATAAAAAAATTTAAAAATGGATTATTTTTTTTAATTGTTAACAAAATAACAACATTTAAAAGTTAAAAAAAGTTAATAAAAGTTGGAAAAGAAATTTGATTTTTGATGTTTTTGTTGATTGTTGTTTGATGGATTCCATTAATCCTTCATTAGCTCTTCGGATTACTTCTGCTATTAATCATCATCATCATCATCATCAGGTTGGTCATCAAAATATTTATCAAAATATTCATCATAATCATCGATTAAAAAATATGAATTTGTATCATGAAAAACATCTTCTTTTACATCATCATCATCATCATCATCCACATTCTTGTTAGTTTCATCAGCAGTATTGGATGATGGTGGTGGTGGTGGTGATGGCAATTGTGGTTCGGATTTCAAATTTGTCCGCTGCGATAACATATCCAATGCTAATGATACTGGATGATTAATAATGAAATCCGGATCCAAATCATCCGTATCATCATTATTATTATTATTATTGTTATCATCTGGATAATAATAATCTAATAAATGAATTTGATTATTTGAATTGAATATTATATAATCATTATAATCGTTAACATTATCATTAGTAATATTGTTCCAATATTGATAGCCATCATCATCATCTTTTTTTTGTAATTTGAAAAATATTGAATGAAAAAACAAGGGTTAAAATGAAATACGAGAGAGAAATATGAGATACTTACATTCTTCAAATCTAGCAATAATAAAACGATACAAACCAGGTACAGTAATACTAAACAATATTATTACAATGATTGTAATATAGAAGAAAATATTATTAAACATTGATAATATTTTCTTTGTTAAAATTGTTAATTGTAACCATAAATAATTATTGTTAAAAATTTGTTCAATTAATTTGCTTGAATTTGTTTGTTGTTCAAATATTGTCAAAATTGTTCGATTTTTTCCAACCAAATCTATTTACAAATTTAACAAAAAAATTGAAATTTGAATTTCTTGGAAAAACAAAAAAAAAACAACATACCATCACCATCATTAACATCATCAACAATTACTGTATCCGGTACCAAAATAATAGCAATAATTGCCAAAAGCAACATTATACAAACAAAAAATATTATAATGTCTAAAATTGTAATTTTAAAATTATTATTATCTTCACCATCACCAGCATTATCATCATTATTATTGATGAAAATTTCATTAGTTTGATCGTTCATTGTAGCCAAAAAAAAAATTGTAGCAAAAAAAAAATTGTAGCAAATTTTAAATTTTAAGTTGATTTAATTGATGATGTTAATTGTTTGATTACCGAACGGTAAATGTTTTTTTGTTTTTATTTGTTTTGTTTTCGATCGGTTTGATAATTAACAAAAAAAAACAACAAAAAAAATTTTCTATCGAAGTGATATGATGAATAATAGGTAAATAGGAAAAAACAGGTATTCGCCGGTGCTGAGTGATTGATTGATTATGATGATGGTTATTATGTAAATGATGATGATGATGATGATGATGCTGATAAAAGTGAAAACCACCAAAGAAAAAGAGAGAAAGTAAAGGTAAATGATGGTGATGTAACTGTTTTTTCTCTTTTTTTTGAACAAAAAAAACCTGTTTGATCATTATCTGAATATTATTGTTTTGTTTTTTTTGTTTTTTTTGGTTGCTACAAAATGAACACAAAAAAATTTCGATTACGCAATATGTTTTTTTTTTTAAATTAAAACTTTTAATCAAAAATTTTTATAAGAAAAAATTACAAAAAGTTTTTTTAAAAAGAAAAATCATTTAAATTTCATTCCATTGATTGATTGGTTTTTTCAAATTTTTAATTCAATTACGAATAAATCATTATCATCACCATGTTTATCAGGAACATTATGTTTAACACCATTGATAATAGTTTCGCCACCATCATCGATATCATCATCAAATAAAGCATCATTTAATAATGATTGTGAATTTGGACTTAGTTGTTTTTGATAATTATCATCATTATCATTGATGTATTCTTCATCGGAACTAACTGAATTTCGAGAGGATAAGGATGAATTAGGATAGACTAGGTTAATTAAATCAATCGAATCAATCAAGCGATCGATCAATTAATCAATACTTACTTGTTGTATTGGCCGATATTGAATCAATATTAAATACAACAAATTTTTTTTGTTGTTGATAATTAATATGTTTAATTGATGATGGTCCTGGTTGTAATAATTCATCTGGAATTTTTTCCAATTTTAAATCATCATTATCATCTGAAATAATAATGTTTTCTTGATCATTATCATCATTTTGATTTTGATCAAATCGAAACCAAAACCAATAAATTATTTGGCCAATAAAACGATTGCAAAACAATCGTATTGAATTGAAAAATGTTAAAATTGTTGTCCAATATCGATGATAATCGTTATTGTTGTTGATTGAATTATCATCAATATTTGTAGCTAATTCCTTAGCAGAAATATTTTGATTCGATTGATTATTATCATCATTTTGATTCAAATCAATTTCAATCATTGTTTCATTGGAATTTGATTTCGGATAATGTTGTTGTTGTTCGATATCAGCAGCCATTTTTTTAAAAAATCAAAATGCTACAAACCAAAAATGTTGCAAAAAAAAATTCCTACAATTCTCCAATTTGTCGACTCTGAACTGGAATGAAAACATTAATTCAGAACCACCGACATTAAACCAAATTTTTTTTTGGTTGTCAAACATCGTATATGAAAAAATTCCATGAATAAAAAGTCCATCCCCAAACAATAAAAAAAACTGGTTGGGTTTTTTTTCGTCTTTGTTGTTGTTGTTGTAGATGATGATTATGATTATGATTGTGGCCATAAATTACGCCCAAACATTGAACAAAAAAACTAATTTTGCGCATGTGACATTGATGATAATTGACAAAGATTTTTTGTTTTGTTTTATTTGAATGAAAATGAGGCGGTTCAAATTTCGTTTTTTAGGGGAGGGGGGTGTTTGAAATGAAAAGATTTATTCAAATTTTTTTTTGTTTTGTTTTGTTTTTCAATAAAAAAAAGAAAGAATTTGAAAGATAATGTATTAGGAATCGATAGTATCGATAGTTTGTTTCAAAGACAAATAACTAAAAACGTTAAAACCATCATTATGATTAGCATACCCAAAATTAGTTGAATAAGTTTTTCTTTTTCCGTTACTTCTGCCAAAATTGCTACATTTTTATTCGGTGGAAAAATATTTTCGACATCTTCTTTAGCAATAGTAACAGTATCAGTATTAGTTTTAATCATTTCTTCATCAGCTTCGTCTACGTGGTTATAAACTTCCAATTCGTTTGATTTGATTGTTGTTAATGTTTCCGTATTAATTGTTTCATAATCAGTGCCATAATTAATTTTAATATCATCATTATCATCAGTATTACTATTGTCAGCAGTACCAATATCAGCATTAACAACAGTACCAGCAGCATCAGTATTGCCAACATGAGCTTCACCGTGAACAGCATGAACCTTTGCATTATCATTACGGGACAAGGTCAAAACGATAATTTGAACCATTATCAACATTACCAATATGGCAAAAATTCGGATAAATTTAATTTTTTTCATGTTTTTTTTCTTCTTCTTCTTCTCTTACAATAAGCAGCAACAAGTAAAAAGTAACAAGTAACAAGCAACAAGTAACAAGTAAAAGTAGCAAACAACAAACGAGAATAAATTTTGTTCAACAACAAAAAAATAAAAATCAAAAAGTCAGATGATTCATAAGATTGAGTGATGCAAATGAAAATGGATTATTATTATTATTCCAACATAAATTGATACTGCTATTACAGAAAAAAAACGAAAAAAAATTGTAGCAAAATTCAACAGAAAAAAACAAAATATATTCAAATTACCTGGATTCAGTGAAAAAAAATTCCATAATTTTTTGTCAAATTTGTTTTTTTGGGCGGAGTTTTATCCATCATTGTATCCATTATGCTTCAAAAATTTTCGAATTAATCATGCGCATTCATCGACATCATATTTGTAAATGTAGCCTTTGTGTTTTCGAATATAAATCTATGATGATGAATAGTGGTTATGGTTTATCGGTTGTCCCGTGTGCTTGTTTGTGATGTGACATTTTTTTGATTTTTCGATTTTTCGAATTTTTCGATTTCTAGTGAAAAAAAAACTTTATCATTTTTTTGCAATCTGAAACTTGTTGAATTTAGTTTTTTTTTTGAGTTGTTGATCAAAATCTCAAAATGAATAATCGACGTCATTATCAAAATCATCAACGTCGTCGTCATGAAGATCGACCTTTGATGATGATGAATGGTCATGTACCTGATGGTGTTGTTGAGTATTTTGATCATCAAAATCGTAATCAGAATCAAAATCAAAATCAAAATCAAAACCAAAATCAAAATCAAAATCAAAATCAAAACAACAACAACAACAACAATGAGGATGTTGACAACAATCAAAATGGCTACAAACGTCCAACAAAAAAATGGTTCCTTTTTCGTTTATTTTCATTAATAATTTTATTATTATTAACCGGTGAGAAATTGTATGAGAAATTTGAACAAACATTTTTCGATTTACAACGTTGTTCAAACAATATGGATGAAAATTGTCAACAATTTTCAATCGATTGGACAACATTAGTTATGGAAAAATGGACAAATAATTATATCGGTACAACTGATATGATTGGTGTACATAAATTTTATATATATAATATTACCGATTTACAATTATTTAAAGATCGTATTGAAAGTTTACGTACACATAGTCGTCCTAATGATCGTATACCGGTTAATGAAATTGGTCCATTTGTTTTTAGGTAAGTTGATACATTTGTTTTTTTTTCACTGCTCATTGTTGTTGTTGTTGCAAACAAAACAAAAAATATCAATTTAGAACCAAAGAAACAAAAAGTCATATAGAATTTCTATTTGATAAACAATTAATACGTTATGATATGAAAACAACATATGAATTTAATCAATCAGCATCGATTGGTTCATTGGATCAAAAATTTTGGATTATTAATAATGAATTGGCTGTATGTTGATTTGATTATTATTTTGTTGTTGTTGTTGTCCTTAATCAATTAAATTACTTCACTGAAAAACTAGGTAATTGCACCATATTTATCAAAATTTTATCAAAAAATTGCACCACATGATCGACAACAAGGTTTATCATTTTATCAACGTACAATATCCAAAACAATATTGGATATATTTTATTCAAATTTATTGGTTGAACGTTCTGTAAAACGTATTTTATATGGTCCTGATAAAGAATCTCAACAACAAGAAGAAGAAGAAGATGAAGAAAAAATCAAAAAGAATCTAATTCATTTAAAACGTTTGGAAAAAAATATTGAATTAAAAATTATTGATGATTTTTTTCTGATGAAACAAACATTAAATATACCGGATCGAATTTCCGATCAAGCAACATTACAAATAACATATATTTTACAACGATTTCATAATCAATTTGAAAATTTTCTAAATATTAATGAATATTTTAAATTAATTAATGATTCATATGATAATCGTTTGGATCAAATTCCTGATTTGGATTCAAATTTTATTAAAACACCAATTGGATTTTTAAATAATTTTCAACGTTATCAAAAATATGTTATTCAAATGAAATCTACAAATGAATATCCAGGTGTAATTGAATGGAATGGTCGAAAGTAAGTGTTTTTGATTTTTTATTATTCGCTCAAATTTTTTATAAATCAAAAAATTTTGTTAGAAATGTTGATCATCCACAAAAATGGTGTAATGATTTACAATTAGAAAATCATTATAAAGATGAATCAAATTATCATTTATTACAATATGGTTTATATAATTTTATACCACAATTATGTGGTTCAACAAGATTATTATTCGATATAGCAGCCAATAATAATCAATCAAATCCTAATTTTGTTTATAAATTTCGACAAACAAAATCACAAATATCGATGGGAAAAACATTACAAATATCACAGATAATTGATAATTATTGTCCACGATTCGAATTTCCATTGAACAACAACAACAACAACGTTGATATTGACAAAAAAACTACCTGTCAAAATGATGATAACAATTATTCTATTGATTTGGCTGATTGTTTTGGTCAAACCCGTTTACGATCACAACCACTTTTTGAACCAGGTATTTGTTTCATTGATAATAATTATGATAAAAATTAAATTAAATTTTTAATTCAAATTCAATCATTGATGATGATGATAAAGATCAACCAACAAATATTAAATTTGATACGGTAATTTTTAAATTTAATTTTAAATTTAATTTTAATTTAATTAAAATTTTAAATACAAAAACAGACAACCGGATTAATGATTACAAAATTGGAACATTATCGTTTATCGATTGGTTTCTATTTGAACACTATGCATATCAATCCGTATGTTTTTGTTTTTTTATTTGATTATTATGAAAAATTTTCTTTTTTCAACACATTTATTTTAACAGCGATTTTATCGATATTGATCCAAATGAAGATCTTTATTCACCAATGATAAGTAATATTCATTATCAAGAAATGTATAATCAATGGAATTCTTGGTCAATATTTTTATTATATTTGCTCAAAACAACCGTTATAATCAATATATTTATAATGATATTTATAATGTTATTATATGAATTATTGCAAACATTTTGTTTGGTTTATGAAATTGAATAATGGATTTTTTGTTTCAAAATATTAATTTCAAAAAAAAAAAATCTCAATAATGTCAACAATTTTCGACGATAGATGACACAACTTTACAGTCAAAAAAAAAACAAACAATAATGTCAACAATTTTCAACACTTGATGGCGTAACTTACATCAGAAAAAATTTCAAAAAAAATATATAATTTTCTTGATTTCAATTCAATTTACAAAATCATTATTATTAATTTTTCGGATAAATAAAAGGTGATGGTAGTAAAAATACAATAAACTTGATCATAATTATTACTGTTTGTTTTTGTAGTTTTTATTTTTCATGGGCTTGGTCCATCCATTGATCAATAAGTTCAATTTCAGTGTTCCGAAATAAAATTCATTCATTCATTTCAAACAATGATTACTATTCCTAGGTCTAGGTCTAGGTATAGAGGTGTGTCATGTCTGTCTAATGGTCAGTTTAATTTGGTTTGAATCGATTGTTTTCAAAATACTTTGGCTCGTGTCAGTTTTTTTTTATTTTCTTGATCCAAATCAATCAAATCTTTCCTATATTGTGCATGGCTAGACAATAAACAAACCAAAAAAAAAAATGAATCATCATCATCATATAATCATCATCCAAACAAAAAAAAAACAAAAAGAAAAAAAAAGTTATTCGACCATCGACTTACTGTCGGCAGACAATATAACAATACCAGTCAATAATGATGATAAAGTTAGTTGTTTTTATTCAACAAAAAAAAACCAGATCAGATATTTGATTCAGGTAAATTTATCAAGGTAAGAAACAGAAAAAGAAAGTAAAAGAAGAAGAAGAAAAAAAATCTATCGAAACAGGATGTGTGATCTTTGATCGAAAGTTCGTCTCTCTCTCTCTCTTTTTCTATTTCACCTTTGTTTGATTCATATTATGATGAACATTGATCGTCTTTCTTTTTTTTTTTTTTTTTTTTGGTTTTGTTCACACACAGGTAAAAATAGCTTGAAGGCATGAAAATAGCAAAAAAAAAACTGAAAATGATTTTTTTCTCTATTCTTTTAGGTTTGGTTTTGTTGTTGTTGCTGCTTTTTTCATCGTTTTCGTCTTATCTTCAACAACAAACAACAAAAAAACAAAAAATTCAAATTTTAAAATTGTTGATCACTTTTTCACCTCACCAAATATTTAGAAAATAAAAAGATTTAGATCCTGGAACAATTTAGATTCAGAATGATTTTTAGAATGATGATCTTCATTTCTTTTTGGTCAATACAGGTAGCCAGGTTATCATTTACACTTTTGATTTTCTTTATTTTTAATCGTGATTTTTGATTTTTGAAGATGAAAAAATAATTCAATCTATTCTAACAAGTTGATCACGATTCTGACCTTTTCCATTTTCACACACACACACACATAATATTGATGGTGGTAACCTTTGTTTTTTTCTCCTGGTTTTTATTCGCTAGTTGAAAACGCGTTTCTTTAAAATCATCATCGATAATCTAAAAATTTTAAAATCAAAAAAAAATCAATCAATCAATCATTTTGGATAAACGATATTTTCTTCTATATTCAAACCATAAATATAATTTAACATCACCATAACCATTTGAAACGAAACGAAAGCTACCGGTTTTTTTTTTTGGCTAAAATCAGTTGTTTACCTTGAAATTTGCAACAACAAAAAAAAACAGGATTCAATCTACTAACTACAACAACAGAATATTGAAAATCTTTTGTTTTTCTTTAATGATAATCAGGGAAAAAAACAGAAGCATCAAATTTCCCTAGTTTTTTTTTGATTTGGCCAAATCAAATTTGAATGTAGAATTTCGACATTCGAGTTTTGACTGTAGGAAATTCTATTACACAGTGTGTCTATCAACAAACCAAAACCAAAACCAAACAAAAAAAAAAAAATATCAAGTTTGATTGGAAGAAAGTAGAAGAAGTAGAAAAAGGAAAATTGGAAATCTGGACCACTAGCAATTGGCTTCAATCAAGTGTGTGTTTATGTTGCATTAGCGTGTGTGCTTCAAACGATGATCAACGAATGTTGATGATGATGACCAATCTCTTTGCATTTTTCTTTAAATAGAATTCTTTAAGAGATATTTTCAATGGGCCAAAAACAGAAAACGAAAAGATTTTGAGTTTTTAGTTTTCATTTGTCGTCTGTGTTTCATTTGTTGTTGTTGTTGTTATCGTTTGTTGCTGTTGTTGTTATCGATGATGATGGTGATGGTTGTTGATTCTTTCTGATATTTTTTTGTTTGTTTGTTTTGGATCCAAAGATTACCTGAAAGATTTTTTTTTCTTCTTCTTCTAAATCAATAAATCAACTGCCAATTCTTTTTCTATTCTTTTAATCAATCAAAAAATAAACCGGTAAGTTTTTTTTGTTTTTTGATATTTTTTTCAATAAATGAAGTATCCCGGTAGTTTTTTCAATTCCGAATTTTATTTTGATTCAAAAAAAACAATCAAAAAAGCATTCTTTTTGAGTCGACGCACGAGTATAATCTATATTCCAATTGGATTCTGCAGAAATCCATGGATTTGTTGTTGTTGTTATTTTCGATGAAAAAAAAACATAAACAAAACAACAAAAAATTCATATGTTAAATAGCCATTTTCAAGAAATAATACTTGTCAAAATAGTTATCTTATTTTGATGATTTGCATTCATCAAAAGAAAAAATGAAATTGATATCCATCATATTCGATTGTGATAAAAATAAACTCAATTCAAATTCAATGAAAATGAAAATATTGTTTTCTTTCTCTCTCTATTTACTTTCTTCCCATTTCTTTTCCTTTATCATTATTTTCTTTGGAATTTTTTTTTTGGATCAAATAAAGTTTTCTGAGACTGTGTGTCGCTGATGACACACATTCATTTATACAACACAGAAAAAAAATCAAACCAAAAATACATTGGAACTTTTTCTCTGGAATTCTAGCAACAACCGAAAATAATGAATAAAGAATTCTATATCTACCCCAGACCCCAAAATGAAGAATTCAATTTTATTATCAAAATAATAATATTCTCTCTCTGTGTGTGTGTCTGTGTTTGACATATATTCTAGATATTCTATATATATTCTATATATAGAATTAAAGAATATAGAATCTATTTTGACGGCATCAATTGACGTCATATCCATATTTGATTATATAACCAATCGTTATATTCGTTTGTTATTATTATTATTATTATCTATTTAATGAATAAATAAAAAAAAATTTTATAATTATTTAATTTTTTCAAGAGCTTTTCTCCACCAAAAAAAAACGAACCAATATATTAAAAAGATAACCCTTTTCTTTCATTGAATTTCAAATAACATTAACCAAGCAAAAAAAAATATGTCCACATTGTAAGTATTTCATTTATAATTTCATTCATTAATTTTTTTTAAGTAAAAAAAAACAAAAAATGGATTATTATCATTATGTCACTATAATTATTACCCAATTTCTTATCAAAAAAATCAATCAATTTTGATTTGATTATCGTTTCTTTTTTCCATTGATTATTAATATCCTGTTTTGTTTTAGTTTTCTGTTTTCCAATGTTTTTCCAAAACAAAATTATGATTTTCTTTTTTTTCAAAACAAAATTCATTTATTTGATATTATCGATTATCGATACACTTCCACCGGGGAAACATAATTCATAACACTTGTCCTTTTTTTACCAAAGAAAAAAAATTGCTCTAGTTTTTTTTTGTTGTTGATTAATCGCTTACATAATCGTTTTTTGTTTCAATATTCAAATTTATTCCGGTTTCTGTTTTCTATCATGCATAAACCATGTTATTTGATTTTTGTTCGAGCAACACACATAAAATTAAACCCCAAAAATTTTTAATTATCAGAAAAAAAAGTTATAAAAAAAAATTTATAACGTTGATTATCATATGATTAATTTACTCATCATCATCATCATTATCTAAATCAAGATTATACAAAATCTAATTTTTTTTTAAATGATAATTTCTCACACACAAGTGTATACACACAGTGTGTAATATGGACACAACAAGATCCGGCTATTTTTTTTCATAATGACATTCATTTGGAAATGATTATATCTTTCTTTCTTCCATTTTTTTATCTTTAAAATCATTATCATTAAGGAATGTGCTAATCAATGCAATCAAACCAGGATCTTTTTTTGAAAACTGATCCAAAAGAATTTAGATATTTTTTGAACTCTTTCGTTCTGTTTTTTTTGTGGCTCTCATTTCAATGATGTTAATAATGATGATTTTCTATAATGTTTTCGTCAGCACTTTTTTTTTTTGGTTAGCATATTAACCACTAATCAAACACTAAAATAGAAATAAAAAAAATCCAATAGAAATCTAAAACCGGATCTTTGATATTTTATAATTTATAGCCTAAATGTCGTCATATAAGCTTATTATTTTGTTGTTGTTGTTGCTTGTCGTTTGGTTTTTTCCACTGTTGCTTTCATTAATGTGTTTTTTCTTTCTTCTTATTTGTTATAATTGAAATCATTTATATAACCAGAGAAAAGAAAAGTAAAATAGAAAGTAAAATCTATTTTGCACAAATAGTTTGTTATTAGTTATAGTAGTCATAGTTTTAAGATGATGATCATTTCATTTTCTTGTTGATAATATGGATCATAACCCACGCCACAAACACAAAGAAAAATAAACTAAACGCTAAACACAAACATAAAATAGATCCGTGTTGATAATTTTATTTTGTTTGTTTGTTGGAATTCTTTTCGGAATGTATTGATTGATTGAATGAATGAATGAATGTTTTTTTTCTTTCACTTTTTTTTACGTCAATTTTAGATTCAATTTTATCTACTAATAATAATAAACAACAACAACAACAAAAAATCAATGGAGAATTTTGATCAAGAAACAATTTTAATTGAAAATGTTAATGATAATAATAATCAGTCAAAATCAAAAGTGTCAACAACAACAACACAATCAAAGACCAGGACATTGATAACATCATCAATCAGACATTCAGATTATGATGATGATAGTAATGATGATGATAATGATGATGGTGATGAAGATTTATCATCATCATCATCATCATCATCATCAAATGAAGATGAAGATGATATCGATGATGAAGATGATAATGAAAAAATAACACATCCGGATAATTATAATGATAATAATGATTGTAAAAAATTTAATTATATTGATAATAATAATAAACGATTAATGCTAAGCAACAAAAAACAAATAAATCATTGTAATAATAATGATGATTACTTAAATCCAAATGTTGATGATATTATTATTTCATCGGCTGTCAATGATCATAATAATCAACAACAAAAATTAATAACAACATCGACGACAGCAACAACAACAACAAAAACAACAACAATGTTAACATCATCATCGGTCAATATTGATCATGGTCATCATAATCAAACTATGATGGAACCAATTTCAAAAATATTTGATCATCATCAAAATCAATTAATTAATTCAATTTGGTCGATAAATGATAATCAAATAGATACTATTCAACATGAAACATCAATAATGAATGTTGTTAGTAATAATGGTGGTAATGGTGGTGTTGATTCAAGCTATGATTCTGATCCAGAATCATCACAAAATAGTGAATTAAGAAAATTAGTTACCGATCTTATTGATTCAGGTAATTCAACGACACCTGATCAAGAAACTGATTCAATTGATTTGTTGGGAAAATTTCAACCAAATAATCAAAATTCTACAACAATAATTATGAATAACAACAAAAACGATATTCAACAACAACAACAACAACAGATATCATCATCATCATTATATAATAATGATTTATTTATGTCAAATGATTCTCAAGCAACAACAACAATGATGATGATATCAAATCGACAACAACAACAGCAACAACAATCAAATCGAAATAATCATCATAAAAAGAAACGTAAATCTAAAAAACAACAACAAAATTGGCAACAACAACAACAACAACAATCTCAACAACAACATGCCGAAATTGATCGTACATCATCAGAAACATTATCACAAGAATATTCAGAATATGTTACAAGACAAATGTTTACCAATAATAATAATAATAATATTGATAATCATCCTATTTTAACAACAACAACAACACAAACACCACCAACAACAACAACAATGATTGAAAATCAGAAAAAATCTGCCGAATTTGAAATGAAAATAAAATTTGCAAAAAAACTTGGCTATTCCGAACAACAAGTTTGTCAAGCAATTGATTTATTAGGTGTTGATTGTCAACAAAATGAATTATTAGCACAATTAATTAATTTATCATCATCATCATCATCGACAACAACGAATATGAATTTAATGATGATGATGAAGCAAAATACAAATCCATTACAATTGAATTTAAATAATCAACAACAACAACAATTGACAAATTATCATCATCAACCACTTGGATATTCAATTTCATCATCAATTTTATTGAATTGTAATTCATCTAATAATGGTGGTGGTAAATCAACGGTTGGTAAAACTTTATCAAGTCCAGTGATTGGATCATCATCATCATCAACTGCCGCAACATCCGCCGTATCACCTGCATCAAACAATATCAATAAAAATGGAAATTTAACTAATTCAAATAATCGAAACAATTCAAGTGGAAATAGTAATTCTATTGAATTACGTTCGATTGTTATTGATGGAAGTAATGTTGCTGTTAAGTAAGTGCAATGATGACAAAAAAAAATTGAAATTGAAAAAATTATTTTTCTAATTACGTTTTTACATTTTCCCAAAAAAAAAGTCATGGAAAACAGAAAAATTTTTCTTGTCGTGGTATTGAACTTTGTGTTGATTGGTTTAAATCACGTGGCCATCAAAATATAGCCATTTTTGTACCATCATGGAGAAAATCACCAAATGCTGATTTTGATCTTCCTGTCATAGGTTAAATTTAAAATAAAGATTTTGTTTCAAACAATTAATGAATTTATTTATTTTAATTTATTTTTAGATCGTGAAATATTATTAAAATTAGAACAAGATGGTTTATTACATTTTACACCATCAAGATCGGTATCCGGACGTATATTAGCACCATATGATGATCGTTATATATTGAATCATGCATTAAAAAATGATGGTATTATTGTATCGAATGATCTTTATCGTGATTTAGTTATCGAAAATAATGATTATAAAAAACTTGTTGATGAACGTTTATTAATGTATTTATTTGTTGATGATGAATTTATGCCACCTGATGATCCACTTGGACCACGTGGACCATCATTAGATAAATTTTTATCCAAACCATTATCATTAGAAAATGTTAGAAATATTGCCAAATTTAATAAAATTTGTCCATATGATAAAAAATGTACATACGGTAATAAATGTAAATATTATCATCCTGAACGACAACAACAACAACAACAACAATTATCAACAACAACATCATTATCATTATCAAATTCATCATTACCATCATCATCATCATCATCATCATCGTCAACAACAACAACATCGAATAGTAATAATAAACAACTTCGAACATTAAAAAGTTTACCATTAAATAATCAAGGAATGAAAAATTTACAATCAAATTCAAATAATAATTTATCAAATATTTGGTCAAGTATGGATAATCAGATTATATCGGGTGGATTAGGATCATCATCTGGAATGGTGTTGTCTTGTCCAAAGAAAACAACATTATTTCGTACAAAATCTAGTGTTTCAATCGATCTTCAAGATAAAAATCAACAACAACAACAACAATCGCAACGAAATCGTTTGAATGATAATGTACAACAACAATCATTAGGATCAATGAATAAAACGTTAGTTAATGTTAATAATAATCAACAAAAACATCGAAAATTAGAACGACAATTAACATTATATTCGGATGCTGATCCACGATTACCGAATCTTTTTCCAAAATCAACAACAGAAAATAAAGAAAAATTATCACAAACAAAAAGTTGGAATATGATAATCGGTGGACATCATAATAATAATCATCATCTTCATCATGGTCAAGTAAATAATAATAATAATAATAATAATAATGGTTTATTATTACAAACATTATCCAATTCAATGGCAACATTATCATTTTGTTATGGAGATAATTCCATTCGAAATTCATTGAATGAATCACCATCGACTACATCATCAACGACATCCGCATCCACATCATCATGTCGAACAAATTTACTAACAACTGTAAATGCAAATGGACAAAATAATTCCTATAATCTTTCTGCCAATAATAATAATAATCAATTTTCTCATTATAATCAACATCATAATCATCATCATAATTATCAACAACAATCATTAAATAATCATAATCATAAACCATTAATGATTAAATCACATTCATTATCATCATCATCGAATGATATTTTAAACAATATTTCAATAGGTATTTTCCAATTGAATTTTAGTAAAATTATTAATTTTTTAAAATTTATTTTTGAATACAGGCACTGCCGCCACCAATACATTAGATCATCCAACATCATCATCACATTATATTTTACAACAACAACAACAACAAAATCATCCAAATCAACAATCATCACAACAATCACCTTATCATCAACAACAACAAATTACATCATTCAAAATTAATCAATCCGGTTTAAATCGATTGAATTCAAATACAGCTGCATTAATCGATGATCAAATTCCTCTTCATCATAATCATAATAATAATAATCATTATCAACAACAACAACAACAACAATTTAATGAAATACGATCAAAAATTTATTATCATTTATCATCATTATTTCCATCGGATATTGTTTATAATGCAATGATACAAATGCCAAATGAAACTGATCCAAATAAAATTTGTTCAATTATAATTCAAATGAATCATGAACATAATTTATCGTCAACAACAACAACAACAACAACATTAAATGATTTGTCATTAGCCACCAACAATACCAATACCCCCGCAACCACATTATCATCATCGACATCGACAGCAGCTTCATAATTTTAGACAAGAATTTTCTCAGATTTTTCTTCGCCATTTTTCCTCTCCAAATCTTAATCGATTGGTGGAGTGCCAAAAAAAAAATTAATATTGCCAAAATGCCCGATACATTTTATCTAAATGTATCAAAAATCCAATTATTGTTATTTTTTTTCCTTCAAAATTGATCGATAAAATATTCCCCAAATCATTATTCCGAAAATTATTGTTATTATCATTATTAATGATTCTTTAATTCTGGATATATTTTTGTTGTTGTTGTTGTTAATGTTCCATTTACATACCTGTCATGTTTGTTATAATTTCCATCCATCATTGTTATACAATCAAAAAAAGAAAAATGGAAAAACAAAAAGATTTCATAAGAAAAAGTGAAAGTAAGAGATTATAATGATAAATATTATTTTTTTTTTCGTTTGTTTACTGTTTTCCTTTTTGGATTTTATTGAACAAAAATGTCCTTTCCAAAATCCAATTTTCCTAATAAATAAAAAATGTGTCCATGTTTCCCATTCGAATATTCGTATACATCATATGTATGTTATTGTTATTTGAAGAGAAAAACAAAAAAAAATTTGTAATTTCTTAATATTTTCCCAAAATGAATTAAGATTTTTTTTCCAATTTAATCAATCAATCTTTTATCATTAATTCTTTTACAAACTGTTAATTATATAATATCTATAATTATAATTAATAAAAATAATTTTAAAAAAAATTTGTAATAATTTGGACAAAGTTTTTTTTTTGTTTTGTTTTTGGTTTTACAATCAATCAATCATGTTTTTTTTGAAATAAAATAAAATAAATTGTTGTTGTTTGTTTGTTTGCTTGTTGCAATCGTCAACGAATCATACGACGTGGACCACGACCTTTTGCAATTGGTTTATCAAATTTTAATGGTGGTGCCATTTCGTTTGATTGTTTTTGTACGGATAGATCCATATCTAATGATGGATATAATAAGAAAAATATTCGTTTAACAGTTACTTCATTTAATGAATCTGCTTCAAAATATTTTAATTGATTATCCAATTTATTAGTCAATTTTCCAATCATTGAATTTAGATTAACCGAATATGAAAATCTTAATTTAGCCGGTAATGTATTATCGATTGGTACATAGCTAATCATAATAAAACGTTCGATGGGTTCATTATTATCATTAATTTCATTCAATGGATTTTGATGACGAAAACGAAATACAATATAACCAGGTTGAAAATTTTGTGGTAATAATATTTGATCATGTTGTTCGAATTGTTGATAATTCCAACATTTTGCTAATAATGGATAATCAGTTAATGTTAATTTTCCATCAAATATTACTTGTGAATAATCATTTGACATAATAAAACGTAAACAACAATATTGATTTTGTTTTTGTTGAAATTTTCCGATTTCATTTTCAGCCATTTCATCTAATAAACAATCAAAATGTAATGCACCACCTGAACGACCTAAATGGCTAAAATGATAATGATGATGATTAAATTGATCGAATTAATAATCAAACAAAAAAAAACATTTTTTACCAATGTTGAATTTTATGCATAACTTCTAATTCTTGTTGTTTTTGTTGTTCTAATTCTTGTAATGTTTGTATTTGTCGTTTATCATGTTGTCGACATTGAATTTCATGGAAAATTTTTTCCAAACTAAGATCATCAAAATCTTCGATAAATAAATCCATTGTAATCAATGGTGTACCAAATGAATTTTTTAATGTTGTTTTTGTTGATGCTGCAACCATTTTTTGTTTTACATCCGACTGCGGTGGTGACATATGTATCAATAACCAATTTATATCTTTGTAAAATTTTAAATAAATCTATCATTAGTTTTTTGTTTTAGTTAAATCAAACTTACTATTCGAATCAAGATGAATAAGTAGAAAAAATGGACGATTATCTGAACGATCAATTTGTTTATAAAATAATTGATAATCATGTTGCCAATCTTGTTGTTTATTTGATTTATTTTTCAATATCATTTGACATTTTTGACGATCAATCATAATCATTAACCAACGATATTTAGTATCAGATTTTCTTGCCTGTTTTAGATAACCATCCAATTCATTATCAGGTTTGATTAATCCTAAATCCATTATTATCTTTGAACCAAACAAAAAAAACAAAGTTAAAAAAAAAAATATCAATCGTAGAGAATTCAACCAAAAAACAAACAAACATTCGAATTGAAAGAATTTTGTGAGGTGTGGTGGTGGTGGTTGCCACCATAAGAGAAGAGGCGTATATTAAATGCAAATTACGTACATGATAATTTTTGAATTTGAAAAATAAAGATGCAAAAATAAACTTTGAAAGAATTTGTTATAAATCTAAAAATAAATTTTGAAAAAAACGATACAACAATAAAGAAATTTTTACAGAAAAAAAAGACAAGAATTTTCGGTTGAAATTAATTTTTGTAGATTTACTAAATTAATAAAATTTACTAAAAATTATAAAATATTTTTTTTGGTGATGATTATTATTGGGCGTTGTAACAACAACAACAAAAATTTCTGATAATAATCACATCAGGATATATATTTGGGAAAATATCCTGTAGATTTTTTTTTGTTCACTGAATAGAATCCTCAATACTGGATACAATACAATGAGCTAAAAATAAGGAAATTGAATGATTACTGTATTTTGCTACGTTCAACCAGAAAACAAAAAAATTTCACATTCCATTCCATTATATACCACTTCCATTTGGTTTAGTAAAAATTTGTACCAAACAAGTTAAAATAGTTTCGAATCAATGTTTTGATTTGATCGAAATAGATTCGAATGTTTTATTTCATCATTATTTTTCATTCATTTTATTGTTCAACTAAGCAAAAATAACATTCAAACAATCCGAGTTTTGTTTTCTTGCTCATTACCTTTTTTTTCAAGTTTGTTTGTTTAATATTTCACATTTTTTGGTATAGAATTCAATAAGTATAGAAAAATGAGCTGGTTTGGCGGTGGTGGTAAAAAAGAATCGAAAAGTATTTGATCGATCATATTTCATCTAAACATTTTTGATAATGGTAATTTATTTTGTTTTTTTTCTTTGAATCACAAAAATATAGCCGATGCTGCTCGTAGTAATCAACGTGAAATATCACGGGCACAACGTCAAGTTCAACGTAGTAATGCCGAATTGGAACGTGAAGAAAAAAAGCTAGAATTACAAATTAAACAATTAGCTAAGCAAGGTCAAACACAAGCTTGTAAAATGTTGGCCAAACAATTGGTACAGATTAGACAGCAAAAAACTCGAAATATGATGGCCAATACAAAAATCGGCGCCATTGGTTCGCAAACTAAAATGATGGGAGCTAATAGTGCATTGGCAAACGCAATGGCCAGTAGTACTGATGTAAGAGTTGAATTTCATTGTTGAATTTTCTAAATTATTCATCATTATAATTAGGCAATGAAAGCTTCTAATGAACAAATGAATCCGGAACAACTTGGTGGAATTCTTAGAAATTTTGCTCAAGAAAATCAAAAAATGGATATGATGGATGAAATGAGTAAGTATCAATGAACAAATAAGTAAGAAATGATTTTTTCACAAATGATTTTTTTCAATTTTAGTGGAAGAATCATTGAATGATATACTTGGTGATTCGGATGATGAACAAGAACAGGATTTGGTTGTCAATAAAATTCTCGATGAAATTGGTATCGAAATGTCGGGCAAGGTAATTTGAATCTTTAATTTTGATCGAATAAGAAAATTTATCTAAATTAATTTCTTTTTTTAATAACTTTTCAGCTTTCCAAAGTCAAAACACCAGATAATGATCTTGATATTGATATCGATGAATTGATTGGCAATAAAAATAAAACCAAAGCTTCGAAACAAAAAATTTAGATTCGAATTTCTAATTCGCCAGTTGAATTCAATGTTGAATTTTATTTTATTTTGTTTTTTTTAATCAATTTCCATTATTAACATTGTTTTGTTGTTATTTTCCAAAAAAAAAAATTAATAAATTGTGCCTTGTGAAAAAAAATTTCTCCCAATATTTTTTTATAGAAATTTTCCCGTAAAGTTTTCGGCGAGTATCAGGATTTTCTTCGGTAAGAATTCTTATTGACAAACAAAATCAATTTGTTGTTGTTGTTTTTTGGGCAACTATATAGAATGTGTTGAATGATTGCATTGCTGTTTGAAAAAGAACGCACCCCAAAAATATTTTTCAAATAAAATTGTCATTTACAAAGTTTGTAATTTTGTTGTTTTTAAATAAAAAAAACTAATCATCCGGAAAAAAACAGTTAGAAATTGTCAATGAAATCAATAATAATATAATAAAGCTGCTGCCGACGCCCAAATTTTTATTAAAAAAAAAAAATTTTAATTTTAAATTTGACAAAATGTTTTCATCGATAAATCCATGGAAAAATGTTGAATGTAAAATATCGAAAAAATCATTTAAATATTTGAATCGATATTTTCAATTACCATCATTTCGTACGGAAAAAATTAGCCATAATTTAATTGCAACTAGTGGTTTTCTACATTCATATCGATCATCATCAAGTAATGATTTTCTATTTTCTATTCGATTTTTTTTGGGAATTTCTAAATTTTTTAAATTATAGATCGAATCATTGTTGGATCATCATGGAATTTTCGTGAATCATTCAAAGAAAATGGACAAAACATTGACGATAAAATTGATCAACATCTTTTGGAAATTATTCGTAAATATTTGTTAAAAATGAATGGTTTTTAGCATAAATTTAGGTATTTTTTCTCTCCAAATATAATATTACAGTTCGACCGAATTTCGATATCATCGATTTATCATTCCATCCACTTAACGATGATATATTGGCTGTTTCAAATTCAAATTCATTACAATTGCTTCGATTACCGGTTATTCCATTGGATGATTTTAAAACAATTCAATTGAATAATAAACCAAATTTATTGGCAAAAGAATTAAATTTTGAAGAAAACATTTCTATGGATGGATTTCGTTTTCATCCAACAATGAAAGAACAATTAGCAACAAATTCAATTGCAAATCAATCAATATCATTATATGATATTAATAATATTCAAAATAATCCGATAGCCGAATGGAAATGTTTGAATAATGAAATTGTATCATCATTTAATTTTAATTATGTTGGACAGACAATTTTTGCAAATCAAATTAATTCAAAACAATCTGAATCAATTGTTTCAATGATTGATTTACGTTCAATTGGAACGAATGATACAATACGATCACAACCGATTCAATGTTGGCAAGAAACACATTCACAAATTATATCATTAGATGGTCAAAAAAGTCGACCATATATATTGGTCAGTTTATTGGATCGACGTAAAAATAATAATTTATTAATCTATGATATTCGTAATTTTAGTCAACCAATATTACAACATATTGAATGTGGTTCATATCGTCAAAATCCATCAAATATTTATTTACCTTGTTTTGATTCGGATGCCGGTATTGTTTATCTAACATTACGTAATGGACAATCAATTGTACATTCAATTGTTGATGAAATGTATCTTGATTCAAAACGTTTCAATACATTTGATAATCCAAAATCTTATTGTACATTACCGGAAAATTGTAAACCAATTCTAGATTCAACATTAATGTCAAAACGTTCAGTTAATTTGAATGAAAATCAAATTGATTGTCTAATTATATTGACTACTGATGGAACATTATTACCATTCAGTTATTATGTACCGAAAAAATCATCATCATCATCATCATTTAATGATAGTTTTTCGTACAAACAATTTCCTGCCACATTTTCACCACATACAAATATTGATCAAAAAATGTTCGAATCAAAAATATCTTTATTAAATCGTATCAATTGGCTTAATTTGGATCCGAATAAACAAAATATTTCGGAAATTTATCGATTTGGTGAAAATTTCCCCGTAGAATTTGATCAATATTGGAGTGTAAATGAACAGAAAATATTTCAAAAATTTTCTGGTGAAATAATTGATGATACTAGTGATAAACCAGTGGAAAATTTAACTGACGACAAAATTGAATCAAAATCATCAGATGACAATATCAATGATGATGATAATGTTTCAAGATTAATTGATTTTAATCATTTGAAATATATTGATGGATCTGTCTATGATCGTAAACTTATACCTGGAATGCCATCGATTAGTCAATCACGTACATTGAATTTTGATTTTTTTCATATCAATGAAAAATATGGAATATTTGTTCGTAGTGATCGTTTAAATCAAATTTCGATAAAGATTATTGATTCAAATGGTTATGATGAACATAATGGCCTTGGTTATATTAATTGTCCAACTGAAATTAATTGTTTTGCTTTGGATCCATTTAATTCGGATTGTTTGGCTATCGGTTTAAATGATGGTTTGATTCAACATTTTACTATAACATCGGATTTTTATAATAATTTAATCGAATCAAATTCAACCGATATGTTAATGTTAGAACAGCCTGATTTTGAACTTAATGCAATCACAAACGATATAACTTTACATCATACATCGATAACATCTATACAATATCATCCAATGGCTAAAAATATATTAGCATCTTCAATCGATCATTTTATTATGATCTGGGATTTGGAACAACGATTTATACAAAAAATTATCGATTGTAGTAATAATAATAATGTTTTGACATTACGCATGATACAATGGAATCGATTCCAAAATGGTTGTATTTATTTGGCTGCATTTAATGAAAAATATCTAATGGTTAAAGATGTTAGCGATCGACAACAAACTTTAAATAAAAACAATGATAATATGATTGTTGAATTTCCAAATCGTATAAATCCAAATCGTTTATGTTGGGCATTAAATGATAATATTTTACTAGTCACTGCTAAAGAGTAAGTTAAAATGATTATTTATTCATATCATTCAAATGAATATTTATCGATTTTTGTTTTAAATTGCAGAACCTCAAATCGTAAAATTTTATTCTATTTATTTAATGAAAATAAATTACAATATCTATTTATGCATGATATGTCATCATTACCATCATTTTTAACACCATATTATGATGATGATACAAGAATTTTATATTTAGCTGGTCGTGGTGAAAATACTGTACATTTTATTTGTTTGGAATTGAATCCATCATCAAAATCAAACGATGTTGAACAACAATGTTTATCAATCAAACCATTAGAATCATATCGTTTTCCAACCAATCATTTGGCTATTGATTTTTTACCTAGAAAACAATGTTGTGTACGTAATTGTGAAATTGCTATCGGTATACGAATGTTTATGAATGGATTTGAACGATTTCGTTATAGAGTTCCAAGAAATCATGTAAGTTTTTTTTTATTTACCTGTTTTTGTTGTATTGAGTTGAATTTAATTTGATTTTCATAAATATAGCCCGAATATTTTCATGATGAAATCTATCCACCGACAGCTGATTATTCAAAACCATTATTTACCAGTTCGAAATGGTTAAATCAACTAAAAAATCCTGAACAATTATCTGGAATAAAATATCCATTAATTAATCTAAAACCATTAGATATGATTCCATTTTCAACAATACGAGAAAAACTTCAAGAAGAACAAAAACAAAAACGTCAACAAAATAATCCGATAGTAAATCAACGTCAAAATATTGCAAATAATAATAATTCAAATGGATTTCCGGCAAATTTTTGTCAATATTTTGCACATGTTGATGATGAACCATTAGAAATTTCCAATAATAATTGTGATGATGCTGAAGGTGTTGATCCTAGTGAATGGGTAATGAATGAATCAATTTCACTATAATTTTCTAATTATTTTATTTTTTTATCAAACAGGACTGATCAATCAATCGAGACTGATAAAAAATTTTATTATTTTTCTTTTTAAAATCTGGTTTTTAAAAAAAATATTTTTACACTTTGCTAAAACTTTTTACAGAAAATTTTTACTATTTCAAAACAAATTTTTAAAAAAATAAATTCTGAAATTTTACCGATGATGATGATTATGGATTTTACATTATTTTTTCTACTTTTTTATTTTGTTTTTTACCAATTAACATCCGGCTACTCCCACACACAAACACACAAACCATCAATAGAATTGAATTAAATCAGGAAAAAAAATTCATTCGGATCATCAACATCATCATCAAAATGTCAAACTATTTTAGGCATTTTGTTTTGGGCATCAAATGATGATGATGACATTGAGGAAAAAAAAGAAATTTTCCAAATAAAACGAAAAGATTTTTTTTGTTCGTTTCCTTGAAAATTTTCAAATTAAATAGATCATCATCATCATCATCATTATGGTTTGTTCATCAGGTCGTCCAATCCAAACATCCACCCACCACCATTATAATTGTCCATCAATAAGTATAATGTTTTCAATGATGATGACAATTTATTCATGGCCAGCAGGTGATGAATGTGTTTTTGAACCCTAATGGAAATAAATGTTTTAATTTTTTTTTCGCTGACAATGACATACAAATCAAATGGAAATTACAAATTTTATTTTATTTGAAGGACAATTTGGCCCCAAAAAGATTAAATCGATAAATCGATTTATTGATCAGAAATTAAAATGAAATTAGATTTTTTCCATCAATATAATTTGAAATTTTTTTAATGAAAAACAACAACAACAACAAGAAAAACGATATCATAAATGGTAATGTCATTAGCTGTGCATTTAGTTTGTTCAGAAGATCAACAACAAAAAAACCACCCACCCACACACACATAATAAACACATGAATGGGCATAGTTAATTCAGTTCTTTTTTTATGTTCATCAATCATATCAGCAGGATAATGATGATGATGGACAATGGACTTGATGTTATGGATTTTTTTGAAAAATTTATTAATTTAAAAGTGGAAATGATGAAATAGCTTAATGATGATGATGATCATCATCATCATTTAATTTAAATTATGATCATCCAAACAGAAAAATACCATAATTGGGAGATTTTGAAAAAAAATAAACACAGAATTCAAAATCAATAAAAAAACTTATTTAACGGATATGACACCCTAGATTTTATTTTTATTTTTTCTTTGGTTGTCATTTTTATTTCTATTTTCATCATTTTTTCAATTTCACACATTACATAATCATTAGTCATTCATTAAAACAAAAAATAAATTATAACCAAGGTAGCTCAAAATAGTCGTCGTCGAATATAAAAAAAAATGGGGTTTGGTTATTCATTTTGTTCATTTCAATTTCTATTTCGTAACCGAATAACACATCCGTTTCTCTCATAAATTATTATTATTATTATTTTTTTGACCAAAAACAGTTTCAAGAAAAAAAGTTAAAACAAAAAACAAAAAGGCAAATCCTCATTGTCAATGACCAAAAAAATAATCCAAAAAAAATTTTTCTGTTAATAATCAAAAATCGTTGGCCATATAACAGACCAATATGGATTTTTCATCATCAAAATAATTTTGTTGTTGTTGTTGTTGTTGTAAATCTTCATTTTTTGTAAATCTTATTAATATAATGTTTATGTATGTCAACAGTATCCTTTTCCATCATCATCATCAGCATTATCATTATAAATTCAAGGACCAAATATAAATATAAAATTGAAATAAATTGATGTTTATGTTGTGTTTGTTTGTTTGTTTGTTTGTTTGTTTGTTGTGTGTGGGTGTCCATTTTACTTTCATTTATCTTGTAAGTAGAAACACACACACACATAGACCGAAAAGATTTTCAATGTTATTTTTTCATATTTTGGATATAAATTTTTTATTTTCCAGTTTGGATCGACTTTTGTCACATTTGAATATAGAGAACATATTATATTTTTAAAAAAATGTCCAAATGAGTCATATATACCGACATTATTATTATCGTTGAAAGATTCATCATCATTTTCTGTTTTCTCTTGTTTGATAAATTCTCTCTCTTTACGATTGAAACGTTGAAAATTCATCATTACCATCATCGACAGTGAAACAAGAGAAAATTAAATTACATTTTTTTGTTTTTGTTCATTTTTCAAATTAAATTGATTTTGATCAACAACGACAAACAGCATTTTGTATTAAAAGTTTGTATCAAAATGATCAAATAATGTTGCAAAAAATTGAAAATAATTCAACAACAACTAACGATGATGATCATGGATTTTCATCATCATCATCATCATCATCGTCGTCGGCTATTTCTACACAATCATTACATTTTCAATATAATCAACCGGAATCATTATTATCACAAAAATCATCATCATCATCATCATCAAATTCATCATCATCATGTATGGCAATAACATCAAATAATAATCAAAAAATGTTATCAAAATCGTTGAGCGAGTTAATTTTAATTTCAAATTTATTAACAAAAAATAATAATAATGATAATTCTTGTTCATCATCATCATCAACATCTTCATCTGATTGTCTTGGTACATTGAAATTTGATTCAAATGATAATCAATCGATTAATTTGTCCGATTATTCATCATCATCAATATCATCAACATCAACAACCGAATCTAAATTGAAACCAAAATCTACAACAACATTACAACGTCCAATTACAATGATAACGTTTCCAAAACCTAGAGAAAATTTATCATCAATTACAAATTATCAATCAACGATGGATTCGATTGATAATCAATCTAATTGTTCAGAATTGACAATTTCATCGACTATTCAACATTTTGGTCAATACATTTCCACTGATCAACAACAATATGAAAAACGAACCGATTCAGGTAAATAATTTTGCAATTTGTAATTTTTGTTGAATAAATTTTTTTTTATTTCTTCAAAATCCAGAATCAACCATCCATAATGATGATGATAATTTATCGATACCAAAATCGTTTGATCAAAATAATTCAATATTATCATCATTAGCTATATCGGTACCAAATTTAACGGTTTTAAATCAATCGAATGATAAAAAATCAAACGATTCGAAAAATGGATTTTATAGAAAAAACAACAACAACAACAACAACAACAACAACAACAATAAACGTTTTGCACAAAAATTTTGGCAACAAAATTCAAATCAATCAACAAATTCCATGAATACACGAAACACATTACCGATTAATTTAACGTCAACAATAACAACAACAGCAAATGATTCAAATCATTCATTAGGATGTTCAACATCTGGTTATCAATCTACCAGTAGTGGACAATCATTATCAAATCAAGATGATCATCGTTATTTAACCTATGGTACATCACAACAATTACAACAAGAATATGGAAAATTTTTACCATGGCCAACATTAACAGAATTTCGTTTACGACGTAAATTACGTCGTTTTAAACGTAGAGCAAGAAAATTATTTAATAATAGTAATAATTTATTACAAAATCGTTTACAAAATGTTAAACGTTTAATTAAAATGACAAAATTGGATAGAAAATCTGATTCAGATAATAATCTTGATAATGATGATGATGATGATAATGATAATGATGCTATACAGACAGCAACAATATCACGTTCATCATCATTAACATCATTATTAAATCTAATTGAAGAAGCAAATAAAAATTTAATAAATAGTTTTCATGAAGAAGATATGAGAAATCGATTATTTAATAGTCAACAATTTATGCTTTCAACAACAACAACAACAACTGAAAATGAAAATCAACAACCACCAAAATGTCCACCAAGATTAAAACGTACAATGTCAAGTATTAATGTTGGTGGTGGTCAGTTAAAATCAATCGAACAACAACAACAGCAAATTGATTCATCAAATCATCGATTATCATCATCAATTGAATCAACAAAACAGAAAACATTACCATCAACAACAACAACATCGATGAATTGGACGGGTAATCGAAATTTAACCGATAATTATCGTATTGCATTTGTTGAAAATAAAAATAATTTACAAATAAAAAATTCAACTAAACAAAAATTGAAAAATTCAAACAATGATGATTTGGATACAATTTCAGTGAAAAGTTTGGAATCATATTTTGGTCAATCAAGTTTGAATGATCAAAATCAACAAAATCAACAACAACAACAACAAGATTCAATTAAAAAACAACAGCAAGAACAACGAAATTCAAAAATATTATGTGTTCGTTCACATTTTCAAATCAATAATGGTACAATTTATTTAGAAGATTCAGATTGGGAAATGTGTTCGGAAATTTCATCCGAACCATTATCATTAAATGAATCAATTATAAATACAACTACAAATAATAATGATATTGATATGGATACAAATCTAATTGATTTAACATTAAAAACAAGTATTATTTCAAATGATGATAAAATAATAATGAAGAAAAATAATGAAAATGAATTAGATAATAATAATGTTTCGATGAATATCGATTTGAATGATACTAATAATGATGTTGGTGATGATAAATCTACAAAGCCAACTATAGCACCAAAACCAAAACTAATTGATTCATCATCCGAATTGAAAAATGGTAAGATTTAAAATTTTCAATAATTTCTAATTTCTGATTTATTTTCTTATTTACTGCTTTTAAAAGATTTGAATAAAAAATTACCGATTGAATCGAAATCAATAGAAATCAAATCATCCGATAAAGAAATCTTAGATTCTACAAATGACAATGAAATAACAAAACAATCAAAAATATCGGAAGAAAATCAACAAGTTTTGAATAAAAATTCTATTCAAAAATCGATTACAAAACCGAAAACAATCATACGTAGTGAATCAAAAACAACAACGACAACAACACCTGTAAAAAAACCAGGCGAATCAAAATATCATCAAAATTGTAAACATTCATCACATTCGTCACCATTATTGATGACAACAACAAAATCAAATTCAATTTTACAAAAATCCAATAATGAAAAACGAAGAATAAAACCAAAAGCACCATTGCCACCACCATCTATCGTTTCGAAAAGTAACCCTGCAAATGGAAATAAAAAACAAATTCCAACAAAAAATGTTAAAAATATTGGCGAAAAAATTGAAGAAACAATACGAAAAGTACATGAAACAAATTTGGAAAAAAATTCCAAACAATCATTAAAAACATCAACAACAAAAACAACTGCTAAAATTACTAAAGAATCAACAAGAATGAAATTGACAAAAAAGAATGTTGATGTCGAAAAAGAATGTAATCCAAAACGATTTAAAATATTGGAAAAATTTAATAATAAAAAATCATCAATGAATTCAATAAAGGTGAAAAAATCTGATGAAAAATCAATTTCAAATGAAATTCCAGATAAAATCAATGAAATCATAGTTTCAACGGATATAAAAGATCAGTCATCATCATTACCCATTATCATAGAACAAGAAGATTCTGTTAAATTTTTTGAAGATGAAGAAAAATTCAACAAGAATCTTGAAGAAAAAATTCATGCGGAACATTCAATACCAAAATCTTCATTGATTATAACAAATAATAATGATATGAATTTACTGAATGAAATAAAAATTCAAGAAAATTCTGACAATTCTAATTCATATTCGATGATAGAGAATATGATTCGTAGAATTGTTAAAGAAAATTCCAAAATAATTGATTCAACAATGTTAATCAAAAATAATAATAATGATGATGATGATGATAATAAAAATAACAATTTATTGTTAATGTTATTAATGTTACAATATCAACAACAACAACAAAATCAACAACAACAAATTATTGAATTAAAATTATTACAAACATTACAAAATATGCAACAACAACAACAACAACAATCAAAAAATCAAGATTTTAAATTGCTCAAAAATGATAAGGAAATTGATTTTGTTCAGATTCTTATTCAATTACAAAAATTATTGGAAGATAAAATTAATAATAATAACAACAACAACAATGATGATGATCGATTGATTGAAATTGATAAATATCAACAACAACAACAACGATCCGATTTGGAAAAAAATTCTACATTAAACGAACAATCCAAATTGAATGAAATTCAAATTCAAAACGAAACAAATTCAAATCAACAGAAATATTCAAATAGTGCTGATTTGAATGGAAATTTTGTTAACAAAATTATTTTGAATGAAAATAATTGTTTGGAACAATCAGTTGATCAAACAATGACATTACAATCACAAAAAAATGATAATGATATTGATGAATCGGTTAATGTTGATTCAGTTACGACACAACCGGAAAATGTTGCTGTTATTATTGTTGGTGGTGGTGGTGGTGGTGAAGATAAACAAACAATCAATAAACCTGAACATCGTACCGTATTACAATTAAATTCAAATTTTCATCAATCAAAATTTACATTTTTACAATCATTACGTTATCAATTGGAAAAAAAACGTAATAAATTACTAATTGAACGTTATCATCGTAATAATCGTTATGAACAGGAAAAACAACATTTTCAACAACAAAGTACATTATCATTAACAACATTGATTGAAGATCAAGAACTTGATAATAATTACAATCAAACACAAACATTACCATCATTACAATCATCATTGTCATTGAATTCAAATAGTAAAACAATGGTTACATTAGCAAATACATCAAAAATTGAAATTAAATCAATCGATGATCAACAGCAAAAGAAAACGAAACAATCAATGATGAATTCTTCAAATTCAAAAAATAAATCTGGAACTTTACGTCGATTATTATCATCATTATCATCATCATCGAAAAATGTTGATAATAGAAAATCGATAAAAGATAGAAAAAACTATGCAGAAAATTTTCCAAAAATATCGGAAAAAGATCGAAAAAAATTTCTATCAACAACAAATATTTCACAACCATATCCAATAGGTATTGAATCAATTTTTTCATCTACAACAGGTTTATCAAAAATTCATCGACAACAACAACAACAACAACAAAATCTTTTCGAAAATGATGATATTTATCGTCAACAATTTTATTTAAATAATAATCATCGACGACGACGACAACAACAACAACAAAATCAACAACAACAACAACGATCGAAATTAATAAAAAGATCATCAAGTGAAAGAAATTTTCATTCAATTATTAAATTGAATGAAACGAATAATAATGATAATAATCATTTCAATCATAATCGACGACCATTATCATTAAAAATTGATGATTTTGTTGATGATGATGATCAAACATTTGAATCACCATCATCACCATCATCATTATTATCATTATCATCATCAACAATATCGAATATATCATCACAGATGACATCATCATGTTCATCACAGATAGGTGTTTCACGTATGAGATTATTGAATAGTAGACATCGACAACAACAACAACAACAACAACAAAAATTAAAAATAGTAAAAAAACAATCATCAGATTTGGATAATGATGATGATGATGATCAATCATCGATACAATCGATATCAACAATATCATTATCATTACGTGAAAAACCATCAATGGTAACATTTACATTACCGAAAAATTTTAAATCAAATCAAAATTATTTAAAATCAACAACAGCAACAACAAAAGCAAAAATTAATCAACAACAACCATTAATAAAATTTAAATATGATGAACGTTATTTTCAAATTCATGGTGATCATCATTTAGATGATGATAATGATGATAATGATAATTATGATTATCAATTATCAACAAAAAGTAAATTAAATGAAAGATATTTTCGTTATCGTTATTAATCAATATTGAAATTATTGATCCTATTTTTATAAATGAATTTTATTTATTATTTTTTTAAATTTTTTTTATGAATAAATTTTTTTTTATTAAAAACAAAAACAAAAATAACTAATTATACGAAAGTGACATACTGACATATAAACACATTCGGAAATTCAAAAAAAAAAAAAAAATAAAATTATTGTTTTTGTTTCTTTTCATTGGTATCCATGGTTATAAAAAAAAAAAAAAATTTNTTTTTTAAATTTTTTTTATGAATAAATTTTTTTTTATTAAAAACAAAAACAAAAATAACTAATTATACGAAAGTGACATACTGACAAATAAACACATTCGGAAATTCAAAAAAAAAAAAAAAATACAATTATTGTTTTTGTTTCTTTTCATTGGTATCCATGGTTATAAAAAAACAAAATTTCATTATTATCATTATCATCATTAGGATTCATTTTGTTGTTTCAAAAATTGTCACATTATGATGGTGGTGGTGGCGGTGGTGGTAGTAGGCCAATCAAACTAACTATTCAAAAAAAATTGAATGTGATGGATCGTTATGGGCCAACGTCTCTCTCTCTCTCTCTTGGGCCACGAATTTTTTCCAAAACGATGAAAAAATGGAATGAAATGAAATAAACGGTTATTTTGCTGTCTCTTTCGTTATCTTGTTTTTGTTTGATTATTGCATAATATTTTTTGTAAAACTAAATGTTTGTTTGTTTGTTTTGTTTTTGTATAAATGTTCTATTCAAAAAAACAAATGATGATCGATGATCCATTATGTCATTATATTAATAATAATATTTAGTTAATTTGTTTCAATTTTCGAAATTTCGTCGAAATGAAAAAAAAAATTTATTATAATTTGATTATCATTGATCAAACATTAAATATTTTCATTTGTTTTTGTTTTTTCTGGTTAAAAAAAACCAAATTTAAAAAAAAATTTGCTTCGGATAAAGTTTTTGAAATTTTCAAATGATAAAGAATGATTGTTTTTTTGTTGGATTCGAATGTTTTTTTGGCCATTTGCTTAAAAAAAGTAGTAGTATTAGTAGATAGTAAAAGAATAAAAACGACAGTATTCAGGTAGTAGCATTGAATAAAGATTTCCTCTCTCCCATCTATCCGTATACATATATCCAATTTCCTTTTCCCCTATACCACTAGCATTCGAATTTTCAAAAAAAAAAAAAAAAAAAATCGAATCCAAACGAAACGAAAATGAAAAAAACCATAGTGAAGAAGAGAGAGAAAAACTTGTAATAATGAAAAAAATTCGTGAAAAAAAACAAAGTCAAATCGAAAAAGAACAAGAAGAAGAAGAAGACAAGAGAAAAACATGAGAGAAAAAATCTCGCGCCATACTTATTAGTTANCTTAAAAAAAGTAGTAGTATTAGTAGATAGTAAAAGAATAAAAACGACAGTATTCAGGTAGTAGCATTGAATAAAGATTTCCTCTCTCCCATCTATCCCCGTATACATATATCCAATTTCCTTTTCCCCTATCCCCCTAGCATTCAAATTTTAAAAAAAAAAAAAAAAAAAAATCGAATCCAAACGAAACGAAAATGAAAATAACCATAGTGAAGAAGAGAGAGAAAAACTTGTAATAATGAAAAAAATTCGTGAAAAAAAACAAAGTCAAATCGAAAAAGAACAAGAAGAAGAAGAAGACAAGAGAAAAACATGAGAGAAAAAATCTCGCGCCATACTTATTAGTTAGGCGCAACATTTTTAGAGGATGATGATCATCATCATGATGATGGTGATGGTGAGGATGATAATAATCATCGATCCTGTTCGGTTTGGTTTCATTCGTGTAACCTTACAAAACAAAACTCGACGGCAACACATTTTTAAATGAAAAAAACAAAACATAGATCATTCTTGTTTTGTGTTGTTTTTAAACTGTGGTATATTATTCGGAAATAAATGTTGAAAAGGAAAAAGGAAATATCTTCTTTTTCAATCCAAAAAATAAAAAGTTTTTCAAATCTGTGTTATTCAACGTTTATCTTTCATTCATTCATTCATTCATTCATTCACTGTTTAATTGAATTGAAATTATTAAATTGAATGTCGTCGTCGTCAAATGATTTTCATCTTCAAAAAAAACATTTTTATTTTAATTTTCCTTTCAGTGTCAATTATTTCATTCTCTCTCTCTCTCGTGCTTTTAATATGTTTGTAAGTTTGTTTTGACGATCAAATACTGATGAAACAAAATAATTGAATAATAACATTTATATCCAATTGTTTAACATTTTGTTGTTTTTTTGTGTGTTCAATGTGTGCAATATTGCCATTTCAAAACAAAACAAAAAAGTTTATCATCATCATCATTAACTAATCAATTTAGTTAATTAAATTATGATGAATTTTAAAAAATAAAATAATCAATCCAAAAACAACAGCACATTTCATCATTTTCAATTGTTGATTCGATTTTCTTTCTTCTTTCTTTCTTTCCTGCTATCCATTCATCCAACCATTCAACTTATGTTGTTGTTGGTTAAAGATTTTTGTTTTTCCTTCATCATTATCATCTTGATGATGATGATGATGATGAAGAAGTGGTACATTGAATGATGATGATGATTATCATCGACAACAACAACTATGTTT